ACAACTGTGACATATACCTTCATAACACACATGACTTAAAAAAAAATAGTTATAAAGAAATTTTGACAACTAATGAATAAAATTAATTGAACAGGATCCATATACTTATGTTATCATTACTGGTTCATGGAATAAGCTTGAGTTATTTCCCTTTGAACAGAAATGGTTTAACTAATAAAGCAAACAAAGTTCTCTAAAATTAGATTTGATTTAACCACTAAAAATAGTTCTCTAAAATTAGATATGATGTTACATAATGCATATCTATTTTCAACTTATAATCAAATATAATTAATAGTTCCAAATATGTCACAAACTAATGATCTGCAACTTATCTATCAATATCAACAACTTTATCTACACAGTGTAATGTAATGAAATATATCCTTTTATAAAAATAGATTATTATCAAATTAAAAGAGTTCACTTCATCAAAAAAAATTATATATAGCATTCAGAAAATTAATGTATACAGAATAACAAACAAACCTACCACAAAATTCTTCTAACAATTTACCAAAGAAAAGAAAAAAAAATCCAAAATGTCATTTATCATTAATACAATGTCTTTTAATTAATGAGTGATTTCCCTTTGAACAGAAATGGAGTAATTAATAAGTATTACATCAAAAATTGAATTCTTGGGAAAGGCTATAACTCACCAACGAGAAAAGCTAAAATCGTTAAAATTGACGTTGACCTTCATTTAGTCACAGGAAACAACATATCTAAATTTGAAAAAAAATCGTCAAAGCGTTTTCATGTTAATGAACGGACACTGTTTGTCAGCCACCCGCTGTACATCCCCAAATCAATAACCGATTTTTCCTTCGAAAAATCGGTTAAAAATCCATAACTGCAATCATTTATGTTTGCTCATTTGTAGATCTTATTTAGGGCATTTTTGTAGGTCTTGTATCATTGTCATTTTTATTGTTTACAGTTTTATAAATTTTCTCTCGAACTCCTCTAGTTTGACCAAAATGCAAAAATTGCAGATAAGTGGGAAATTCACATGACAAAAACTATATTTTTTTTGTTCAAGCAGTCACTGTACCATGAAATTAGGTCAAGGACAATGAACATATGACAAACGGAAACTTCTTAACATAAGGTATCTACATACAAGGTAAGAACCATCCAGGTCTGCTTCCTACTGAAATATAAAGCTTTATACAAATAGTTTACCCTGTCGCTGCCGCCGAATTGTAATCCTGGTATCACATTCTGCGACTTTTGTTGCAGGCGAGATAGAAACAAGTTTAGCAAGTCTTTCAAGGACAATAACTCCTCGGTTAATTGACATACGTCCATGTGGACTTATTTGTAGATCAAACTGTTCTGGTAAATTTTACTGTTTAAAATTTCTCTTTTTTTCTTTTACCAAAAACTAGGAAATTTGCATATAAATGATATTTCAGAAGTAACTCCATATGGGTAGTCCAATTTTTCTGAAAATTTCATTGGTGATAGATCTTGACCTGCTGATTATTTTTACCCATGTCAGATTTCCTCTCACTGTTTTACATTTCGAGATACAAGTACCAGTAGTCAAAAAATGCATTTTACTCCTACCAGGGGTATGTTCTACTTTTAGCATCAGCGGTCATATTTGTTGATGGATCAAATCCCCAGATAAGGTTAAAAAGTTTTTGAAAAAAAGAACCAAAATATCGTCCTCCATCTAAAATAGATTGGAAGCAGTGTCGTCACTCAGGTCACAAAAGACGCTCTTTCATCGTATTATAAAAATTGGTGTAAACGGGAAAAATCTGATAAAAAATCTCTTGATTCTTATTTAAATAAATGTATGAATGTTGTGGACATTTGAATATTACATTTTGAAAATAATTTAGAAATAAATAAGAGTACATAATACTAGTATTACATGTTTTAGATAAATTACATGCCTTTGATAGTCCTTTTGATTCTGTTGACAGTTTTGACTTTTCAACTCTTTAGGTATAAAACCACTAATTCATAGCCCCATCGCTTTCTATGTTAAATTCTGCAATTTCATACATTAATGGCTACTTTATCTTAAGTTCAAATAAAGTGGCAGTTATTTCATGTCAAACCTGTACCTTATCCTGACTTGTGCTGAAAAAATCAACATACCTTTAATTGCATATTAGAGCGTTCTGGTTCCCGGAAGTTTGATAGTACAAAAACAGGAACTTCTGATCTGAACAACAGGCCAAATGAGCCCTCCTATTAATTTTTTTTTTTATACTTCTTTATTATTCAAATAAAACTTTCAACAAGGGTTCTACAGTGATCCCAAGTCCCCAAGCTTTCATTTGATCCTAAAACAACCCAAATATTCCAACTATTGACAAAGATACAGCTATGCGTATGAACTATTTTTTTTCAAATATGTACTACTTTCTTGTATGTTCTTTCCGATCGGGCCTGAAGTAGTGGTTCTATACCTTTACACTTCACTTCCACACAATCTTTACAAACAAAAAATTTCCCTATTTAATTAAATGGTCGTTTGGTAAATCTGAATGCAATATATTTGCTGCAACTCATTTAAAGCCTTCTTCTGTAATGAGAAAGGTAAATATGCTAGATATAAAATTGAGAATGGAAATGGGGACTGTGTCAAAGAGACAACAACCCGACCATAGAGCAGACAACAGCCGAAGGCCACCAATGGGTCTTCAATGCAGCGAGAAACTCCTGCACCCAGAGGCGTCCTTTAGATATACTTACTCGAGGTGTCATGAGATGATTGAAGCTGTTAATTTTCTCCTTTATAATATTTATGTACGTTTCGGCAAAAAAGTTTATCGACAGGTTGTAGGTATTCCTATGGGCACCAATTGCACCCCTTTAATTTTCCTTTTTTGGACGATAATGTTCCTTTGGCACCATCTTACCGTGTTTATATATCACAACTCGTTCGCTATGCCCATGTCTGCTGTGACGTATTAGATTTCAATGAACGTAATATATGTATTACTAATAAGTTAATAAGTCAGGGATTTCGTTACCACAAATTACTGAAAAGCTTTACTAAATTCTTCCATAGATATAAAGATTTGACTTGGAAGTTTGGTTGTGCCTGTAGAAAACTTATTTTTAACGGGATAGCACATCCTAATTTTTACGGAGATGTTGTTTACCAAGCCCGTAAACTTAGATATGATCCAGGTAAACTTATCAATCCTTCAAATAAACTTATTCTAAAACGTTACCAATTCAACACTATAATTAGATCTTTGAATCTTGTTTTTATTGGTATTAATTTTAATTTTGTTATCAGTATATTAAAATCAAACTAAACATTATTTTTATATAAATATGCACATTCATGGTTCTACCATCTGTCTATACCTGACGTCTTTAAACTTAATCCTTTGGATTTTGGATGTGTACCGATTGATATTTTAGTCTTAGATGCATAATTTTTTTTATTAGTTGTTATTGGCTTTGAACTAGCTGTCAGTAACTGCTAGTACTCTCAGATCTGTACTCAGTGTCTGTTTGTTGTGGGGATGTACAAGTACCCTGCCATGTCCACTCTGTGTTTTTGTTAGATGTATTTCTGCTTTGTATCGATCTGATGAGTTAAGCCCTTTTCAACTGATTTTTAGTTTGTTCTTATGTTGTACTGTTACACCACTGTCCCAGGTTAGGGGAGGGTTGGCGCACCTTCAAACTTGTTTAACTCTGCCACATTCTGTATGTGCCTGTCCCAAGTCAGGAGCCTCTATTCAGTGGTTGTCGTTAGTTGCTGTGTATCATATTTGTTTTTTTCGTTCATTATTTTGTACATAAATCAGTTGAAGGCCGTACGGTGACCTATAGTTGTTAATTTCTGTATCATTTGGTCTCTTGTGGAGAGTTGTCCCTTTGGCAATCATACCACATCTTCTTATTTTTTTATTTTAATATTTTTCAGTGTTCAGTTCTTATTGTAATCTTAAAACGTACTGTTACTTCACACCTGTATAACCTATTAATGGACATATTTTTAACAGAAATATTTTTTTTTTATAAGTATGAAGATTTTATATTTATTTCTGTAGAATTCTGGGACATTTTCAAATATATTTTATTTCAAGATCAATACGAACTCAAGCAGGAAGTTGACTGATTACCTTTTTTGGAAAAGTTTTGTTATATTATTTAGAACGATGTATATAAAAAATAAATTATTTCCATGTGCTCATCATTTTTTTCTTCAAACACCTTGATTAGGTACACTTGTGACCAAAAGTTAAAAAAAATTACTTCAGAGCAAAAACAATATGGCAAAAAAAAGTTTAAAATATAGTTGAAATAGACCATTTGCCAATTACTGTTTTGAATCTGTTATTACACAATTTTAATACAAATTGTTCCCCTTTGTCAATTGTAGATTGGTTCTATAATGGACAAATGGGCTTATGCCTATGCAAAGCATGACAAGTTGAAAATGATATAGAATTTTTAGTGAAAAATAACTCCTGGTATCAAAAGTTTTTAGCATAACAAAAAATTAAATGTAATTAAAAGATGTGAATATTTTAAGGTACAAATAAATTTGCTCTTTCCGCTAGCTCTTCATTGTCAATGAAAATTTGTGTCCATCCAAAGGGAGACAACTCAAAAATGGATCTCTAATTACAGTGTCATTAACAGGAATTGGCAAATAGACTAGAAGCTTATTGGTCATATGATTAATCTTCATATTAAAAGAGTGTATCATGCATCTTATTAACAGCAAAACATATTCCTCTTCATCATTGTATTAAAGGGCTACAGGTAGATGATTCACATTTTTATTTTCCCAATCAATGTTTGCTGCCTCTGTTAGATAGATATTAGAAATTCATAAACTTTTTTTCAAAGCCAAATTTATCCAATAGACCAATACAAACTGTTACTTACACATATCTCACTTTTGGAATTAGAAAACTTTAATAATTGTTGATGCTGCCAACCTGGCCGACAGGCATTCAAGTCAAACTTCCACAACTACTGTTGCTGGCAATGCAATAAAATACAAATTCTGCATTTTTTTCTTTTTTATTCACTCATTTTTTTGCAAATAAGTCTTTTCACTAAAATGATTCCTGGAAATTATGACATGCCAACAAAATATTCAATAGCTGATCAGATCTGTCAGTGTAACAAATAAAATGAACAGTTTGAACAACTACTGAAACCTATCACATTTGACATGGGATTTCCTCCCCCTCTTTGATGAACAGTCAAGGACACACCGATAAATTATCAAAACAATATATATCAAACGAATTAGTGTTTGCACATGAGACTGAATGGAAAACGTCAATGAAACTTTCAAAGTATTTTTAGCTGGTCAAATATAAAAAATACTTTGTAAAAAAATTAGCCATCTATTGTTCAATTTATAAATATTCCTAGGTAAACATTGTCATTAAACTCCCATTTTACGCTTGAGTGATTCTGGCATCTCTGGTGGTGGTGGACGTGGAAGTCTGAAGTACACCTTTACAGAATCATAGATGAACCACTGTAATGCTGTGAGTGTACCAATCATGATGATTCTGGGGAATAAGCCCTTCCACATTCCTAAAATAAAATTAAAAAAAAAAACATTATTAAAAAGAAACAGTTTCTATACCAACCTGCAATTAAATTTTACATCCTCTACTGAAACATGTTTATTCTGTTGAGAGCATTTGTGTATTGGAGTAAGGATATTTCATATTGTTAACACTGGCCTTAAGATTATGCAGTTTTTTGTCGGCATTGTGTAATTTTAAGAGGTTTTAAAATGTGAACGTGATAAAAAGACTCTTATTCTGATAAATGTCAAATATTTGTAATATTGCAACTAAGCTACACACAGTCTTTACAGTTAACTTTTTTTACCACAGGCCAACATCCCCTTTTTCAGAATTTTTTGTATAAATTCTATAGGCCTGTAAGACTAATTTTCACAGGCCCACCAGGAAGTTTACAAGCCTTGGGTTTCAGACTACTGGTTTAACGTGAAGACTGTACACATAGTATAACTGTCATACTAACAAAGAGTTGTCCCTTTCTATGTGTTCAAGAAAGATTCAGGTGGATTGGTTATGATACCTCAATAAATTACCTATATATATAATAACTATCAGAGAGTAACTTTTCGTTACATTCAAATATGTGCATCCAATGCAAAAGTCTAATATGCATTACTGCATTGGTGTTTTTTTCTTCAAAACATTTATGGTACACTGATGAGATATGGAACTAACCTTTCTTAACTTTTAGCCTGTAGCCATATATATTTATTTCTTGAATTCTTAGTAGATTTATACTTTTCCTGACCTGTTGATTATTTTTATTCAATCAACTTGTGGTATTTTTGACCTCAATACTTCATTGGTAAAATTCAATTATGATGTGAAATTTTCTTGCTTTCTTTGCAATTTTGATTTTCCTATTTTAACATCACAAAATAAACTGCTTGGCGGAGCACAGCTGGATACGACCGCAGAGGTCCAACCCTGAACAGTTGGGGCAAAAATGGACACAATATTCAAGCTTGATACAGGTCTAAATTTGGATTGTAATTAAATATTTGACACATTATAGGTTTCTGACACAGAATAAATGTGACAAAGAACTTGAAATTGGTTGTATGATTTGAATTTATATTCAATTGAAGATTTCTTGCTGTTGTGCAATACACTGTGCTGTTGCGCAACTTAGTAAATCTGATTTCAGGCTATATACAAAGAATTAGCAAAATAAATTGTGACCCCCAATTTTTTTCTTTGGAAAATTGACAATTTCTTAAATTTTGAGGGGAAACAAAATTGCCATCCCCCCTCCAAAAAAAATTTTTGAAGAGAATTTTCTTGAGGAAAAAAAATTGCCCCCCCCCCCCAAAAAAAATTTTTTTTACCCCCCCTTTTCCAAAAATAATAATTTTGAAGAAATTTATTTTTTGAAAAATGTGGTACAAATTAAAAGACATCCATACACTTAAACACAAGTTATTGTCTGAAAACTAGAAAAATGCTTGTTTTAAACCCTTTTTGGCCCCTAATTCCTGAACGGTTTGGGCAATTACCCCCAAAATGAATCCCAACCTTCTACTTGTGGTATTGAACCTTGTGGTACAATTTCAGAGCAATCAAAATACTTATACACAAGTTATTGTCCTGAAACTAGAAAAATGCTTGTTTTGGCCCCTAATTCCTAAACAGTTGGGACCATCACCCCCAAAAACAATCCCAACCTTCCTTTTGTGGTATTGAACCTTTTGGTTAAATTTCATAGAGATCCATACACTTAAACTAAAGTTATTGTCCAGAACAAGGGTCCGGAAACGGTCATATATGCCAGTCATGTCCTAAGATGAAACTATTTGTCCTAAACGAGTAATTGGGATTTAGGACAAATTTTATTTTTTTAAAGAAGTAATTTCGGTCATTTCATTGACTCAATGTTTGAAATCGGATTTCTTAATCGCCATTTTGCACTGTCTTGTGTAAGTTGTGATAACTTGTTTTGTTTATAATCCCTTTCCTGTAATAAAACTGCCACTCCAGTAGTTTGATAATCCTGAGGGCCCTCCTAATATCTATATCAATGCCTCCGGGAAACATTGGCTAATGATCGGTAATCACTTTTTACCTGTGGTTTTAATTCACACCTGACAGTGATCACAAGCTCAGAATAATATCTTAACAAAAATTGAAATTCCCTGACAAGTGTATTCATTATTTAATTACTTTTCAGCAAAGACAATAATCAAATCTGATTTAAAAATTACCGGTAAACCTAAATTCACGGAGAAAAAAAGTATTTTTTCATGTGCTTTATCTACTGTATAATACGCATGCGTGAAATTGTCTTCAGCAAATTTAATATTTAATCGTAAAATGCAAACTGATTTCATGCTAAATTAAACGAGTGCAACTATTGTCTGTTTCATTCAAACATTTTTAAAGGTAATAAAATTAAAAAAAACATAAAAAGCCGGTGATTTCCTGTCAATTTGATAAACAAAACAAATCCCGGAAATGAATCCGGAATTATTCGTACTTTAACTTTATCGCAAACTTCCGGTTTTAACTTTTGTCAAATCGAAAGAAACGTAAGCAATGTGAGATTTACCATTTTGAGTCATTAAAATCATTTCAATTTAAACTATTGCCTTCCCGAAACTGTTCTTCATGGTAATGGTATGACATTTATTTAGTAAATGCGATGAAACAGCAATACAAGTTCGTTGATGCTATGAATCTAGTCAAGACTCAATTTGACATCGACAATTTGGAAAGGGGCACCAACTTTTCAATCATCTCAAAATGACCGAAATTGTGTGGAAAAATTTCCGGATCCTTGGTCCAGAAACCAAATGTCTTCGGACGACGCTGACGACGTGATACCAATATACGACCGCAAGAATTTTGGTCGTACAAAAAGGAGACAATGCCTGAAGAAATCACATAGAAAGAACGTATCTTTTTGCAGATCATTGGAAAGAAGGATAAAGTTTGTCTGCCTATCATTTAAAAATCATTAAAGAAACAGATTCTACCACTGTATTCTCGAGCAATAGGATATTTCTCCACTGTTGACAGTTTAAATCTAAATATTTAAAAAGCTCGGCAAGCCTCGTTAATATGAAATTTAATTGTGCTGAGTGTAGAAATTTTGTATCACACTCGATGCAATGGTAGAATCTATGTATACATTTACCTATGGCATATTTTCATTGTAATATTATGTTGTTTTTATATGTAATCTTGGATGAGTTATGATTTTTTTTAAAGGTACCAGTTTTTTTTATCGCAGAAATTTAACTCACCTAGAAATCCCAGATCCTTAGCAATATCAACAAAGTTACTGCCCTTAGCCTGGTTGAGTTTGGATACAATGGTGTCTGCAGGATGAGACACAATAGCACAGAATACACCAGCTGAAAAAAAATATAAACAGTTCAAAACAAATTACATTAATAAAATCATTGAATAAAAGATTAGTCTTTCTTTATGGGAGATAACTCTTGATTAGGTCTTTTAAAAATTAGTTTGCAATCAGAACTTCTGTGTATCAAGTATAAAGTGTCTTCAGGAAAGTATTAATAGCTGAACTGTTTGATTTTAAATTGTGAAAAGTCAGGTTATTATGAACTTAGTTGGGACAAAATGCATGGATTGCCATCTTAAAATATTGCAGTGTACATATAGGTACTATCATGAATATTAATGATCCATTAATTTCCTCTAATTTCTCTTGGCTTTTATGAACTTTTTATGAAGGGACATTCCACTTATAAAAAGGTAGTGATACTGATCTTACAAAATTTCAAAAATGCATGTAATAATTTCTGTATTTACATTCTTCTTATTTTAGTATTTCGTGATACATGTAAAGTGTAAAAGACCCTTATCTTATTCCTGTATTAAGACAGAGTAAACATTAGTTTTTTTCGCGCATGCTGTCTTTTAGAATTTTCCCCATTTGTGCATGTGTTATGAGATATACTTTGATTTTTATTATTGCCTCAAGACAACATGTTACAGTTGGATTTCCTTTCAAATTTTCAATATTATACATTAACATTTCAAGTAAAAATGTTACATTATTTATCATGTTTATTGTATATTATTGTGCTTAACTTGTCCTACTGAATAAAAAATTGGTTAGGTCTTTTGAATTAATTTCATTGAAATATTTGTTTTATTTGCCTTTTAGACTAATTTGTTTGAACCTTTAAAAGCATTCTACTGGAGATAAAATTTTATCCTATAACCTAAATCTTTTTATCCTATAACCTAAATCTATGCTCAGTGCATCTCATTATGGTGAAAACTTGAGAAAAATGTTTAAATACTAGGATTTTAAATGACTGATTGCGCTTAAAGACAGATTTATAACCCCCCTTTTTCCTTACCAATATAACCAGCTAAGAAGGTGACTGTGAGTTGTTCTGCCTTGTTACATTCCATTCTTGGTTTGGGAACTACATATTTGTACAAAGCTTCAACTGTTCTCTCAAAACAAGCAAATTTCATCATTGTATATGGAATCTGTCTACACCATAAAGGCACCAGTCCTTTGTAAAATCTGTATAAAAAGAAAACATACATATATATAAAATGTTAAAGTATTTGTTATAGAGATGTTACTCTTGTAAACTTTAACAATGCATATTATTTCACAGTTTGTATTATATTTAACACACAATGATGACCACTTTTTCTCAGATTCATTTCAACATCAAGTAAAGTGAACAAATGTATAAGAATCTGTATTTAGGTAAATTATATATAATTCCCCCTCATCAAAATTGTGCATTTTGATTGGATGATAAAAATAATCTGTTCTTACTACTGTAAAATTCCATTGGCCTGAGACACAGGGCTTGTGGATAAATGATGATCATTTTTACTGTTTACAGTTTATTCCTGAATATTGACATTTTTGAGGTGAAAAACATCATTTAACGGCAATTAATCCTATACATACTGTGACACATCTGCTATGGTGACTTACTTGCAGACCTTATTTTGCTGATCTTTATATTTAAAGTTTTTCTCTTAACTCTATAGTTTCGACAAAAATGGAAAAAATGGATAAAAATCATCATTCAGGGGGAATATCTTCTACAAGAAAGTGTTCGACAGTTTTGGCCATAATGACTGATTTGTAGATCTTATTGTTCTGAACAGTTTTACTTTTATCTATTTCTCACTATCTAATATTTTTTGTTCAAAAACTGTAAAAATGGAGAAAAAAAAATCATCTTTCAAGGGCAATCACTTCTAAAAGGAGTCAGTTGACAATTTCACCTATATTGACTTATTTGTAGATCTTCTTGTGCTTTACATCTTTGCTATTTACAATTTCTCTCTATCTTAAATAATATCTGCAAAAAATGCATAAAAACCATCTTTCAAGAGCAATTACTCCTAAAGCAATCAATTAAAAATTTAGGTTCAGTTGACATCTTTGTAAATGTTATTTTGTTGTTCCCTTTTACTACTTACAATTTCTCCCTACTTATTATCATGAGTTTCTGCAAAAAAATGCAAAAAGTAAGTAAAATAAGTCTTTAAAGGGCAACAACTTTTAAAAGGGTTAATAGACGATTCATCCATATTGACTTTTCTGTAGATCTTATTTTGCTTTTACAACTTCTCTATATCTGTTAAAGTTTCTACAAAATATAAGTACAATAAGTCTTTCAAGGACAATAACTCTTATAAGGGGTCAATTGACAATTCATCAGTACATCTTACTGTCTGGTCATCCTTACTGTTTGAAATTTTTCTCTATCTGTTATAGTGTTCATGATAATAACCAAAAACTGAAATTTGCAAAACATTAACATTTCAGGGGCAACAACTCCAAAATCAGTGGTTTCATTTTTCTGATATTTTGCAGGAGATGGACCTTGACCTGATTGTCAATTCTACCCTTCTTCAGATTTGTTCTAACTGCTTTTATTTGTGAGATAAAAACCAAATTTTTTTTTCAATTTGCTAAAAAATTACACGTCAGGGGCAATGACTCCAAAATCGGATGTCCGATTTTCTGAAAATTTCACAGGTGATAGACCATGACCTGCTGATCATTTTTCCTGCTGTCATATTTGCTCTTACTGCTTTAGTTTTTAAGATATATTCCAAAAAACTGCATTTTACCCCTATGATCTATTTATAAGCTGTTTCATCCTCATATCAAAGTGGACTTGACATTTAAAATATTAATAGTATGCAAATACATCAAGACATCTTTGATATCATGCATGGATCAATGTGTGTTTTACAGTAGGATTCAACCTGTCAAATATTCACTGCTTTATCCTGCAATTTGTTGGAAAAGTCATTATTGAAGTTTCAGCATTAATTGAAATAAACTGTTGACACAGAGATGTCTGGCCTGTCGGCATAAAATTCAGAAAATGACAATCTGATGGACAGCAACATTGCTAATTAATTCAAAGTCGCTGGACCAACTAGTGGGTAGGGCCTCGAAATGGTTGACAAACTATTATGTACAAACAGCAATGTAACTTTATAGAAAATATTGTCTATTGTAAGTAGTTCCTATCAATCTAACTTAATCATAAAACTTAACATTGAAAATTGTTTATTGATTGAAAATCACTGGACCATGACCTAGGGGACAGGGTCTTAATGTCATCAAACTGATATGTACTGATAGTAATGCAACTTTATAGACAATATCATTGATCTATTGCAAGTAGTTCATATCAAACTAACTTAAGCAGAAAACTTATCATTGAAAATTGCTAATTAATTGAAAGTCACTGAACCATGGCCTAGGGGGCAGGGCCTCAAAATAGTCATCAAACTGATATGTAATGATAGCAATGCAACTTCACACAAAATATCATTGATCTATCACTAGTAGTTCCTATCAATCTATCTTAAGCAGAAAACTTAACATTTAAAATGGCTAATTGATTTAAAATTAAAGTCACTGGACCATGGCCTAGGGGCAGGGCCTCAAAATTGTCGTCAAACTGATATGTACTGATAATAATGCATCTTCATACAAAATATCAATGATCTATCACAAGTAGTTCCTTTCAAACTAACTTAAGCAGAAAACTTAACAATTGTTGACGCCGTCATCGCAGCCATCGCCGGAAAAGCAATCCCTATGTCTCGCTTTTCGCGACTTTCATCGCAGGCAAGACAAAAATCAAACAAGATAAAGGATGCGTTATTTATGTCTAAATCTACATCACTTTAGTTATCAAACTAACCCGTTAACTCCTTCTTCTTTTAATATCCTTGGGAAACCTTCTCTCAGTGTTGAACTCCAGCCTGCCTGTGTTTGGATTCTGACTTTACAAGCTTCCATTGGACAAAGAGCAATGTCAGCAAAGAACTCAGCTGATGCACTGGATATCAGGTATAATGATGTTCTCCATAAAAATGTATTTTCCTATTTAATAAAAGGCAGCAAATATTTGTGTGTATGCTTCAAATATTTATCAATTGACCTTGAGAGAATCTCAAAAAAAATGAAATGACTTTTCTCATTTTCTACACGTGCATTTATAACATAATATTGTCTTCGGAAATAGCCACCGTTAAGGTCTTCTGGATACTTGGGCATTGCCCGGCCTTTGCCCTTTTAAGTGTACTTTTCACCTAATTTCACAATGTAAAAACGAATGTAACTTGTGTTCAATTCAAATTTTTTCTAATAAATGTTAATGTGTGAAATCTTCATTTTGTTTAAATATTTTTTATCTTCTATTGTTACAGCCATCATCATGATTAACTTTAAAGTGAATTTTGACCAATATTTTTTTTTTCAAACTAAGTAAACTCTTCAAAAAATTGCATAATTAGTTCCGTTCATCATGTTCATACCTCTCCTAATAAGTTTCCATAAAATATCTTGAAAACTTCATAGAATCCAAATTTGCAAATTCCTTGCATTGAATAACCAATTAATGTTGGAGCCCATCCCTTAGTAAGCTCCACAGCACCACCTTCTTTGACGGATACTTTGAAACCTTTAATGATACCACCATATTTTTCAGGTTGTACTTGAATTCTACATTTAACCAAATCGAGTGGCACTACAGCTGTGTGAGTTATGCCGCAACTCAATAAACCACCAAAACCACACAGGGCATAGTACTTGTTAGATCCAAATTCACAGCTGGTCTCCTCTGAAATGGTCAAATATTATTAATCAAATTATTTTATCTGCCTTCAGTGTACCTTATTTTTTCTGCCAGGAGGCAGGAAACAAGTAAATATCTTTTCTATTTTGTTTTGCCTTTGCTTGAAATGTCAACAACTAAATATTGCCACTATTGACCTTCACAAATGAAGTTTTCAATAATTTTGCTAATTCCAAAAATCTGATTGTTTTTGCACTGTAAATTTATAGCTTATTTGGACTATCAATTACATGTATATACCAGACCAGGAAATTACAACTGATTTGGGTGACTGGTCCCAATCGGTTCAAGACTATAGGATCATTACATTATTATCGTCAAAAATAAATAGGAAGGTATAAATCAATAGATTCTTGCCAGGAAAATTACTATTTCCACATTATATCAGGTGAAAGAAAATGTTCTTTTCAAATATTCATTCATAAATATACAGTTTGCAACTATGAAATACAAAATCATGAGTGTCCTTGAATCCGACAGCTGATTAAATTTCAAACTTAATTGTATCAAAAAGATCTTCCACAATTTTCTTGTTATTGATCAATGACAATAAATCTTTTGAAATACATTATATGTCGCCTATCAAATGTGTTTTCTTCTTTTACCTTGAGCTGATGCAGCGGCGATTGTTCTTGTTTCGTTCACTTTGAAACCTTCACATTTAGCCTGATGGAACGGGCTGCTGAACGGGTTATTTTTCACCGCTTTGGAGATTGCTTCCATCATTTTATCCTGAAACAGACATGAATATTATATATAGACTTGTCTCTAAAAATTTGGATCAAAGTTTCAAAACAGTTTTCGTTTAAACTGACAACCGGCGTTTTGTCCTCTTACCGTTCTGGCGTGTTGCGACGGAAAGGACTGATTAAAAGGTCAAACAGGGCTAACTTCTTCATACATTTGTGATTGGACGGTGCTATTGTGACGATATCGTCTGGTTACCTGTTTCATCCAGAAAACATGTAATATCTGATGATTTTGTTAGGTATTATATAAAAATGTTCAACCATTGGCTGTTGGGAGTGTCGTTTGCGAATGCAGCTAATTTTCTAAAGCTGTTTTATCCGAACATGTTTTCGAGTAAAAAATCGATGTTCAGCACAAAAGTTTACAGTCAGTCTAATCCTTGCGTGAAAAAAACCCTAATATCTCTAAAGGCTACTGACACGGACTCCCTGATATCTCGGCCATAACAAACTCGGACTATAACAAACTTGGCCTATAACAAACTCAGCCTCACAAAATCGGCCTATAACAAACTTGGACTATAACAAACTCGGTTTACTAGAGGAATATAAGTATGATAACTTTATTTTAAATTAATTATCAGTACATTGTGTACTTTATTTTAAATTAATTATGAGTTAAATAAAAACATACTTTACTGATTTTGAAAATATTACAATCAAGAAATATAAATAACGTTAACAAGATACATAAAAGAAAAGTAAGACTAATTTCAGTTAATAATGAAAAGTTACCACTTATTTGTCTTTTCTTTTCTCTTATTTTTATGTCCCTTTGAAAAAAAATTATCATATGCATGTCTTATTTGATTCAACTGGAAATATGGCATCATACTGCCACGTGTATTGTTGACAACTTTTTAATAACCTTAATTTTAACTAATAACTGGCACGTGTACAGTTGACACCTTTAATCACCCAAATGAGAACATGACTACCTGTAATTACATGAAATCTTAATTAACCAAATACCCAGTGACTCAACAGTAACTTCTTGGATAGGTGTGTGTATTACTGGCATGTTTATGTCCCTTTTTTAATTTGATTGCAATTCTTATATGTAATTATAAGTATTGTCAATCTGACAGCCTCTTGTTATGGTTTGTCCAGCATATAGACAGTGTAGACTTAATTAAGTACTTCTCAAGATATTATTATACATGGCCAAATACTAACAAAACTGCATGTATTACTACAAGTTCAAACAAAAACAGTTATTTACAATTCGATGTGTTTTTGCGTGAAAGTTGGAAACTGAGAACTGTCGTTTTTTCACAAACAAAGTGTTTATAATGTTTACTGTGTTCTCTGCTGTTTTATGTAACTATATATTATTTAATTTATTATTATAAATTTCATGTTCCCCACACATGATAATGTAATAATTTAAATATGCTATAGCATAATTGTGCCTATTGCAATAAACGTCTTTATCTTATCTTATCTTATCTTGTCAAGATAAAGGTACAAACGAGAAATTAAGAACAAAATTTCAAATAGAAGTTAATCATCCTCATTTAAAAGTATTAAATTCAAACTTATATTTACTTTATTTAGTATAAACACATATTTCATCTTATGGACCTAAGTTTATTTTAATACATTTCTTATATTTTTGAGCCTCCCCATGGGGTTTTTAATTATGTGATTACTTGGGCGTTTTTAGAGTGATTATTTGATTACCAGACCAAATATTTCATGATTATTTGATTATTTGATAACCTAGGACTGTATTTTTGATTATTTGATTATTTGATAACCTAGGACTGTATTTTTGATTGTTTGATTATCTTGTTTAAAAAAAATAATTAATGATTATGTGATTATATTGGCAAAAAATTTGTGATTATGTGATTACTTGGACACCTCCATGAGGGGCCTCATTTTTTCCAAAACATTATCATTATCTCATAACTTCGTATATAAAGTTCTAAGTCAGGAGCCTGTTGTTACAGTGGTTGTCGTTTGTTGGTGTGGTTCATAAGTTTTTCTCGTTTTTTATATAGATTAGACCGTTGGTTTTCCTGTTTGAAATGTTTTACACTAGTCTTTTTGGGGCCTTTATAGCTTGCTGTTCGGTGTGAGCCAAGGCTCCGTGTTGAAGCCCATACTTTGACCTATAATTGTTTACTTTTTACACATTGTGACTTGGATGGATAGTTGTCTCATTGGCACTCATACCACATCTTCTTATTTATATTATTATAAATCTGGGACTATTATACTAAGCATAATAGTCCCAGTATACATTAAGTGAAATTTTTAAAAAAGTAGTAAAAAAAAACATTAAAAAGAATCTACAAATTATATGCCGATTTTGTTCACTTTAGTTCTTTATATAAATAATGGTAGGCCGAGTTTGTTATAGTCCGTACAGTGTGGGTGCGTGGCTCAGTGGTTAAGACCGTTGGCTACAGTACTGAATGATCTGGGTTCAATCCTGACACCATGGACACTGGGCGTTCGAAATTTCAGTAAATTAGAAAGGTGATTTTCACCCCCCCCCCCCCACACACACATTTCTGGTGTCTAGACCGGAGTTTAAACTAGAATGGGTACTTTGGGGGTCTCGGTAGGTCAAAGTGGCCCCGGCTTTGACCTAGAGATAAATCTGTAGATATCGCTTCGGTTTGTCTGTTTCCGCCGAGAAGCCCGGTGCTTCTCTCCGAGTACTTCGGCTTCCTCCACCATAATAACAGACTTCCCGGTGTCCTAACACTCCCTTGGTGTTGGGTTGGGTATTGTCCGTGGTGGTGGGTTGTATATAAGTTAGTGACATATCTCCATTAATCCTTATAGGGAGTGTACACGGATTCCACTGTACCCTCGCAGCTCTCGAAGGGGTGCTTCGCATATCGGAGGAATTTACGTACATACACATATGTCACGGATTGGTAAAATTTTGCATACAACTTTGGCACATTTAGGAACAACTACCGAAAACGTTAGGCATTATCTCTTTCACTTTCTGAAATATTGTAGAATACAAATTTCGAAGTAAATCTGAGACAAATCTATCTAACCTATTGGTATACTATTCCCAGAGGGCGAATTAAGCGGAAAGGTGGAGGGGTGGGTACAGGGCGCCCGACTCCCTTATGGTGCTACATATATGGTTAATGCATATACTTTTTACACTTTCCACTCCTAACTTTGTCTAGTTTGCCCTGGATCCGTATCTGGAAAGCTCATAAAATCGGCGAATAACGTTGTTAAATTTGTCGTAAATTCATCAACTCTCCAATTACGACGTCAACTACCAATGTATAGATACACGATAAACACTGATAAGAAGGAAATGTTGGACTTTGAAATGTCATTCGCCCAGCAACACAAACAGCAATATATTAACAAAAAGTTCAAAACAGACATCGTTGACGATAAAAAAAACTTTTTTAAATCATAGTATAAAGGAGTAGGCCCTATATTTATTTAAATGCGTGCATGTCCGGTCACCAAAAACCTTGCACTGAAAGAAAATGTGTCTAACCTGGACCTTTTCAAGTTGTGCTTGCTTTTATAATTGCTACCTGTCCTTTCCTTGAGGTAAATTTCTTCATAAAAATCAGATGGAAAACTTTGGCGGATCTTAGATTTTTAAACAAAGGAGGGGGGGGGGGGCACTTTTTATATCTGCAAAAACAAAATATGTATAAAGTTAAACCCCGAAGCCATAGAAATTGAACCCATATTTTCCGGCCTTGTTACCTCCTCACACAACAATTTATACATACACACACATACATGTGTATTAGACTTAGTGTGTTGCACATATCATAGACTTATAAGGATTCAGTTTTTGTATATATATACTAAAGTATTCGTGTATAATTAAACGGCAGTTGACCTGTAAGATATATGATATTAAATCAAGGACTTTTATGTAAAAAGTTATATATAAAACCATGGAAGTATTATATTGATATAATTGTCAATATAATACTTCCATGGTAAAACTAAAGAGTCGAGTCAACCTTACAAAGTAAAACACGTTATAGTATTATCATGTTATTTTATGAAGAATTTATCAAATGTGACTTAGACTCACGTAGAAGCTAAACCAGTTATGTTTGAAGATGAAAAAATATCAATTTGACGTGCTTTTGATGGTCCTTTCAATTTCGTTGACAGTTGTGACTTTTCGACTCTGGCCACAATCTAATCAAATAGCAAGAAGTAATTTTATTTAATCAAATGAGCCTTTGTAAAATCTTATTGCAAAAATATTTACTGCAAATAATACATAGCCTTCTTTTGCAATAAAAGAGACTAATATGCAAAAAAGACTTACTGGAACTGTGATGAGATGATTACCGCTGTTTGTTATCTCCTTGACAACATCTACGTACGTTTCGGCAACAGAGTTTATTGGCATGTTATATGTGTTCCTTTGGGTACCAATAGGATCCATTAAATAGACAACTTGTTCCTGTATTGCTATCAATCACAGTTTATGCCAAACTCAATATTAATATCCGTCTGAACATGCCGAATTCCATCGAAAAAAAATTTTTTGATTACACTTACCATTACCTTGATCCTATTTTTTTTTCTTTTTTTCTTTTAAAAAAATCAAGAATGTTCTTACAAAACTGCAGAAATTTATACCAGGAAACTGACAGCATCAAATATGAATAGCAAGAATTGGTCTTTTCTTGATTTTGATATATCTGTTTCACAAGTGACACTCTGTTCTAAATTACGTCAAAATTCTTTCATAAATACAAATATTTTTTGTGGAAGCTTGGTTTACCGGTGGAATTCTTATTAAAAACGGGATGGCACATTCTAACTTTTACGAAAATGTTGTTTACAGAGCTCTTTAATTAAGACACGATCCTCTTAACCTTATTAGTCTTTTGAATAAACTTATTCTTTACGGTTATTAATTCAATCTTGTACTACCATCTTTGAATACTAGTATTGTCTTTATTCGCACAATGATTGATATAGTTTTCAATAGATTAATACATGTATATAACTATACATATCTTTGAGAGATTGACATATTGTTTAAGCACCTGTCTTTTGTTGAAGACTGTTTGTTGCTCTCTATGAATCGTTTTGGTTATTTTTGTCGTTTGGTTGCTGTCTTATTGACGTATACCCAACCCTCCTTTTATCAATTATATATTGCTATCTATGTTTTAACACATTGTGGTCATGTACCCTGTCTATATTTATATATAATATCATGTTTGCGGTATACCATCTTTTCTGCAAGTTTATTGTTTTCTGTTTGGTATTAAATTAATATTAAAGATCCATTTTGTTACATCTTGTGATCCGTTTATTTGGCAATCGCAAATGGCAGTCAGCAGGGTTTAAGAACATCCGTTGTTCGACCTGTAAGTCAAATGCGTTTTGTTTAAATATACTTTTTCACTTTTTTGGTCTTTTGGAAAATGTTGTTTGAGCTGTATTTAGACCCCTCTACGAAGAAATTTATTTTGCATGGCACACGTATAAAAATTGCGGTTTTTATCCAACCGTGGCGCAATCATCGATAACGCAAATAAATATCAACTTATATTTGTACCATTCAGTGATTTAAAAACGGAAACTACATTTCTCTAGTGTTAATTATATATTGCCTGGAAAGTCCGAGGAAATCTATCATCAAGCTCTTTTAATTTGTGGAGATAAAAGATTGATCAAGTTTTTAAATCCAGAAAAGAGCCTCAAACCTGGGAACAGTATATATGTTCCTGCTCAAACACACGAGATTCATAGTGTTTTTTTGTTGTTATTTACACTTCATGTTGACTTTGAAGAAACGGCGACAACTATAAAACATAGGAAGAAAGAGTCATGGTTAATATAAGAACTTTATTTTATTCGATGAAGTGCAGTCGTTTTCATCTGACACACTGTACAAGATGGTGGTGAAAGACTCAGTCATATAGTATAAAGACTATGAATTGTACTCGTGAAGCAGTAAAATGGTTACATAAATTTCTTCCAGACTGGGGGTAATTAAAAGAGGAAGGAACTCATAAAGCACCAACACTTTTGAAAGGTATGTTGATAAAATACAGTGCGCGCAAATATCCTGTAGAAAAAGCACAAATGTCCTTTTTTTTTAAATCGCAAATGTCCATTTAAAAAAGCGCATATATATATATGTCTTATAAAAAAGTGCAAACTTCCCGCGCCGCTTCAAATATACCACCAAAACGAAACTGAGAATTTGTAAAAAATACCCCTCTGGCTGTGTTTAAGATGATCTAAGATGAAATATGTTTTCTTCAATCATGTGATGAATTTGCCAGTTTCTTTGATTTATCATCGGGCAAAAATAATGTATTTTTTCAAGTTTAAAACAGTATAGTTTTTACGAAATTATGGATTATCAAACTTGACTGACTGTATTTTTTTTGGGTAGTTGAACATAGAATAATTATGCGCCCTCTATCGGCCTAAAGCCTTTATAATACGAGGAGCGATCGGAGATCGGTGAAAAATAACGGCTGACATTATTCGGGTACGGTATTTAGATGAATCCAATTTTTTTTTCACTGGAACATCGCGTGAAGGTCACTGTGATCAAAGATGGCATCCGCTGTAGTTCAACGGGTTGTGCGAGTATGTTTTTTGAGTAAAAATGTATCTTAGGCTGACGAAGTTGAAGAAAAATTAATCAAGCATTTCAGCTAGGGAAGATCTTTGTTAATTTCATTCTGAGGGTGTCTGGGCGTTTTCTGAAACAGACATTTACAGTGAACTCTTCGTTATTTTCTGTTTTGACACTTTTCAGACCGTTTCTACTAAACGTAAATACTGCACTCTGGTGGGGAACAAATATTAAAGATAGTAAATCGATGTCAGTTGACCAGGTGTGGTGATAGTAAAGATCTCCCACTATGCATGATACCGTATAGTCCGAGATTGCTCTGACGTCCAACGGCTGTTTTGGCAGACAAGCTGGGGCCGTGGGACGTCAGAGCTCTCCCATATGAAAAAGTGGATATTTGACCGCCCAAAAGGGATGCACCGCTTCTTTGCTTCTGGAGCCAACTGACAGCCTTGGAAATTCCGGCATTTTAACTTTCATTTTCAAATGGGAGTCATGTTACGAAAGACTTCACGGTTTGAGACTTAAGAATGCAAATTTTTATGCTAATTTCGGCCTTGAACCTTCCAAGTCAAAAATGATAACAATCGAAACACACTTGTATTCATATTGACCCAGGGTCATTTGCATAAATCAGCTCCCATTATGCATTGCGCCTTACTTTTTCTCATTGGTCACATGACAATCTTTCAAAGTGAACGTTAAAATGCCGGAATTGATGGGTCACTGTCAACGTCCAAATATGAGACAATAAAGGGTGGCAGGTAGATGAAACTTACATAAATGAAGAGATAAATGAAAAATGAACAAATTGAGGCCTGACATATGGATCCAAGGCCGTCAGTCGGCTCCAGAAGCAACGAAGCGGCGCATCCATTTTGGACGGGCAAATATCCACTTTTTGATATGAAACGAGCTCTGACATCCCAGGGCCCCTGCTTGTCTGGCAAAACAGCCGTTGGACGTCGGAGATTGCTAGATACTGTAGTGTAACAGCTTTTATTGTTTTAACACGCTCTCTGTAATCAGTAAAGTTTTTAAAATCAATGAACATCCTATCTTAACAAATCTCTGTCAGCTCACTAAATATTTAAGAAAACTAGAAAAATTATAAATCAAAGTCTGACCATGTCTAGCTAGGATTCAAGGGCACACTTTTAAGATGAAGGGCACATTGGCACTATATCTGATACAACTAAATGTCAACTCGTACCACTGCAAAGTTGTACAGATGGAAACTCCTACAAATGTACCATAAAGAAGTGTCTAATATCCAGACTATTTTATGTAATTGTCTGTACTAAAAATATGCAGCAATAATACATGAAAAATTCCTGGTGCCACATATGTCTGCACCATAACCAGGCCATCTAAGTGGGTAAACTGTAAATTATTTCATCTTCTCTCAGTGAAATGGCAAATGACACTCTTAATGCAAATTAAATTTCTGTATCTTTCCACTCACTGTTGTCTATCCCAATTATACTTATTATATGCAGTAAATCTTCACTATGGTGTATAACAATATAGAAATAAGGAGATGTGGTATGATTGCCAATGAGACAACTATCCACCAAAGTTCAAATGAAGTGGATGTAAGCAATTATAGGCAACCGTACGGCCTTCAACAATGAGAAAAACCTGTAACAAGCCTACCTTTGCTATATGAATTTGTGGCAGGCCTTCTAAGTAGGCCAACCCTAATCGCTTTCATGTCGATCCGGCCCCAAGTTGGTCTGGCCCAAGTCTATCCAGCCCCATATTTAGATTCGATCCAGCCCCAATTTAAAACATATTTATAAGGGATAATTATACAATATATGAATTGTAATACATAAATGTTTATGAATTTTATAATGATATGAAAGGTGGACGGTAAAAAGGTGTGCCTTTGACGATTATTTAAATATTTGATTTTCATAAGATGAGACATTTATTGGAATATTTTTTTAAATGTCAAATATTTATATTAAGATTTCATATAGAAATATAATATTATTTTATGTATGGAATATTTGAATTCAAATCAATTTATCACATGTGAGTACGGGTGATTACGCAGTATAAAACAATTATGTTGATTGTTTTTATTACAAGTTTTCACGACTATTGTGTATTTATAATTATAAATTAATAAAAACATTAATCAGCAGTAATTAGCATTTTTTAATTATTAGAACATAAAAAAAGATCAAACTATAAAGACCTTGTTGAGGAAATAAATTTTATCAATCATGATTTTGATTAAATTAAGTGATTACAACTGGTGTTACTTTGGTTCATGATCCTCAGACAATTGTTGAATAAATTATATAAACAAACCAATTATAGACATTGCTTTGAATTAAACAAGTCATTATGATGATTACATAATAATAGGTTCCATTGGATTGTAAATATCTATTTATTTCTTCAATGTGTGACAGTGAATTAAATAAAAACTATTTTTTTCCATGATGTTCCAAGTTATCATGGAAAATAACTTCATATTTACATGCTGCTTTAATAACAGTACCATGTGCAATCGTACTCCTTTTCGTATCGATTTAGAATAAAATCTTTTGAATGTTACTCCAGTATGAGGCATACTTCACTTACCTGCTGTCATTAATCATTGATACTTTGTGCAAATTCCATTTACCCTGAATCAAATATGTTACCAAATCCTCCGATGTTAATATTAATTATCCATTATTTTATTATGGGGCCGGATCGAATTAGGGCCGAATTGACGTGGGACGAAAAGACTTGGGACGGATCGACTTGAGGCCAGATCGACTTGGGGCCGGAACGACCTGATACCCCCTAATGGCTTATCCATCATTTCTAATTGGAACATAGTTTACCTACCTTGCTAGTGCAATGTACAAAAAAATGTACATGTACATAAGGATAGTTGTGTATGTTGGGTTTGGAAAAATAAACAAAATTATACCCCCGCTTTAAAAAAGGGGGGGTATACTGTTTTACCTCTGTCTGTCCATCCGTCAGTCCGTCCGTCCCATGAATATTTTTTGTCACATCTTTCTCAGGAACTACATTACAAGGATTTCTGAAATTTGGTTTCAGGGTTTATATGAGTCAGCTATACCTTGTGATGCATTTTCAGATTCATCACTCAACAACTTCCTGTTTACCTTATACTTTTAGCGGGGCGGGGGTATCATTAGTGAGCAGTAGCTCACAGATTCACTTGTTTAATTTTGGTCTAAACATTTTAATTTGCAGAAAGTGCCATTGAATAGTTTCAGTAAACAGTTTTCCACAACAACAGTTAGAGCTGGATCTCAGGTAAGTTGGTATTTAGTCTTGGTAGTAGAACTATGTTTTTTATCCAAAATAGAAAATCAAGCAGCGTTTTTACAACATCATGATCCTTCACACATCAACTTATTGTTTTCCAAATACGTTTAGCAGGGCTTAGTGGCCATTTGTACTCAGTCCAACTTTTCATTTTTAGCTCACCGTTCCGAAGGAACTGTGAGCTTTTGCCATCACTTGGCGTCCGGCGTCGTCGTTGTCCGTCCGGTGTAAACTATTTCAAACATCTTCTCCTCTGAAACTACTGAACCAATTCCAACCAAACTTAAGCTGAATGATCCTTAGGGTATCTAGAATAAAGTTTGTGTTTTATTTTCTGTTTCGTCAAAAACATGGCCGCCATGGCTAAAAATAGCACATAGGGGTAAAAGGCAGTTTTTGGTTTATATCTCAAAAACTAAAGCATTTAGAGCAAATCAGACATAAGTTAAAGTATTCATTAGGTCAAGGTCTACCTGCCCTGAAATTATCAGCCAAATCGGGTATCTGATTTTTAGGTTATTGCCCCTGAATTGATGATTTTAAGGAAATTTTGCAGTTTTCGATTATTATCTTGAATATTATTATAGATAAAGATAAACTGTAAACAGCAAAAATGATCAGCAAAGTAAGATCTACAAATAAGTTAATATGACCAAAATTGTCAATTGACCCCTTAAGGAGTTATTGTCCTTTAAAGACAATTTTTCACAATTTGGTCATCTAATCTGGTTTGCTTACTTTAAAAAATCTTCTCCTTTGAAACTGCTGAATCAATTTCAGCCAAACTTGGGCTGAATGAGTTTCAGAGTATCTTGTATAAATTTTGTATATTATTTCCTTGTACGTCAAGAAACATAGCCACTATGGCTCAAATGGAACATAGGGGTAAAATGCATTTTTTTGCTTTTGAAGAAAATATGACAGATACAAAGAACATTTAAATGGCATTTTTAAGCGATTCCGGCTCTTGAGAGCCTCTTGTTCTATTAGAAATATTCAGGATCATTATACATGTAGTTATCATTAGTCTCTTGATTAAAATTTTATTGATAAAATATTTTTAGTTTATAAGTAGTGACTTTAAGTACATGTAATTGATGGTAAGACATTTTAAAATGTCATGGTTTTATTGATTGAGATTTTGGTGTTTTGTGAATTATGAATCATAAAAAGAGGTGAAAATTTCACTGAATTTAATTTAGACTAAGATGTCGATGTGAACATGAACGACATCAGATTATTTAACAAAATATGATCTGATCAGAATTTAGGGTAAATGTTTGATGTTTACCCCTTATTACTTCTATGTGTTCTATAAATAGCATAGCATCATAAAATTGTATCGAACATACAAACAATTAGTTACATGTTTTAACAAAATTTGCAGTAAAGTGAAATTTTTATCCCTCATAATTATGTCAATAGCAGGCAACATATGCTTATCTTACGGACTAATTGTTTGGTTGTGCCAAAAAAAAATAATCAAGAACATGATCTAATTTTTAACATGTTCAGTTACAACTAAATCTAAATGACCACTTGTTTTTACAGTTAACTGTGAGAGATGCCTTGAATGCAGCTATAGATGAAGAAATCAAAAGAGATGATAAAGTTTTTCTTTTGGGAGAGGAAGTTGCATTGTATGATGGTGCCTACAAGGTTCTTAAGTATATTCACACAGAAATGAAAGCAATTTGACCCATTGAAAACTTGCTGGCCCAAATTACAATGAAATAAATTAAAATTAATTGTCTGTATTCTAATTTTCCCTTTAAAAGTCCTAGTTGTTCATGATTGAACATTCATCAAAGAGCTGTCTTGGTATGGATAAGTAGAACAAATTCTATATGTGGTAATTTGAATAGAAACTTCTCTTAATGTTGTGAACTTCTTTGTTAAACACGTGAAGATCAGATTATAAGCAGGATAATGGCCTACACTATGAAATGAAATATTCAATGGCATGGTTAGTCCTTATATTTTGCCAAATATTTTAAGATCAGAATACAGTGTGTCCAATGTCATCATATATATGTTACAGTGAATTTGTATAATCAGGGATTATGTAAAATCACTGATTTTTCAGGGATTTTACATAATGACTAAAATCATTAGTGATTATATATAATCCCTGAAAATGACCAGTGATTTTACATAATCACTGAAAATTTTAAGAATTATATATAATTCAAATTCCCTGGAATGTTTTCAGGGATTATCAATAGCACAAAGATTCTCTGTTTGGTAAAATTAATTCAAATACAGACAAACAAATCATATGTATAACCTCTTTTTGGTTTAAGTGGACAATTTTCATTCCCTGTCCATTTATCAAATCTTATTAAAGTGAACAGTTTTTCCAGTGATATTCTATTTAACTGTATTAAACCACATTAACTCATAAACAAATAAGTATTTTAAATTGAAATCAATAATACCAACATAAAAGCACAGATCATGTAACTTTCTGTGAAACAAAGGGGATGAAAGATAACATGGAATTCGAACTAAGCAAAGAAATGCAACTAAACATCTAGAAACACAAACAGAAGACATGCTTGACAGATTGAACACAATTTTTTGAGTAGGCTGTGATACTGATTCTGCATGTTGATCGTGGAAAGATGATGAAGATGGATGGCAGCTAAACATCAAGTGGCAAATTAATATGCATATTCAGGATGAGAACATGTTAATGTAATATGACCTGCTTTGTACTAGACTGACACGCTGAGCTGGATTTTAACCTACTAGTTCACAAGGTAACAGTCCGCAGGAAGACATGTCACCTTACCCTGATACATTATTCTAACTCCAAGCCAGGCATTCTTTGCTCTAACTCCTTAATGCCGCATGCTTAGCGGAGAAGCAGCAAATACCAATTTTGAAGTCTTTGGTTTGACCCGGCCAGGGTTCGAACCCACGACCTGCCACACTCGAGGCAAACACGTTACCACGATACCACCGAGGCAGTTGATGATCATGGAAAGGGAGACCCCAAAAACATAATTGCCATCGTTCATAAAAGGGCTGAAAAGGATAATGACTACGAAACATGAAATTATGCCCAGATAATACACGAGGAATCAATTTGAGGTGTCTGATTGACCTTCTTAGCACCTTCAGATGTTTCTTGTGAATTCTTTATTTCTCTTCAAAGTGCAGTAAAATCAGATTCAATATGTGAAGGCTAAAGGGTTTTTTTTGTTGCCAAAAAAAAAAGGGATAAGCAGAGCAAATGTTCAATATTAAAGGGTCTGGATGGGGTTTACAGAAAAGAGAATAATTGGCAAACAGTGCAAAATAAAGGGCTAAAAAAAATAAAGAATAGACCAAAAAAATTAGATTAGAGAATAATAGTGTGCTAGCATATACAGAATTTAGAGTAATGGGCAAAATAAATAAAGTATAGAGAAAATGATCTAAAAATTAAAGAATAAAAAAATGAGGGACCCCCGATCCAGAACCTCATATTAAACATCGTCTAATTTTACAATGTAGCTTGTAAAAATAAATGATTTCGTGCGTATGATTTTAATATTTATGTTTCTAGAAATGATTAAATATGATTTTATAGAATAAACTATTTTACTTTTATTCCTTGTTTCTTCATTCCAGTTATTTTGTATAATCCCTGACACTTTTTCTAGTGATTGTGCATAATTCCTGAAAATTTTAGTAATTATATATAATCACTAAAGTTACCAGTGATTATACATAATCTCTGAAAATTTCAGGGATTATATATAATTACTAATTCTACAAATTCACTGTTACATATATACATATAAAAATATTTGGCATGGTTACTTTAATGTTCTTTTATATCCAAATTATTAAAACCTTACGTTCTACTAGTTCTTTCGCTTTTTTTAATTTAAATTTTGTGATAACAAATTTTTTTATTGTATACTTCTTATGAAGAAGTGTTTTCTTTCTCTGAAATTATTTTTTTGATTACAGGTTAGCAGAGGATTACACAAGACATATGGAGACAAGAGAGTATTAGATACTCCTATAACTGAGGTTTGTAAATTTTACGTTGTATTTTTATCTCACTGAGCCAAAAATGTGATTATGACATTTTATCATCACAAGAAAGACAAACATAAACACTCAGATATTGTTCACATAAATAAAAGAATTGCTGTCTCAGAGAAAAATCAAAAAGTCTCTCAATTTTTACTCACACTTTTTCCATGTAAGGGGAGATAATTTACTAAACGCAGAATGATATACTAGAAATTCTAAAATTAATGGTCTCTGTTTTAATGTGAAAAATGTACCGTAACCAAATGTTTTTACATTATCACATGATTAAATTTTGCATTAATTTCTTTTTATTAATATTCAGTACTTGAAAATCATTCACCAATCTCTTATTATTGTTTGTTGTTTCAAATTCACATTAGGGCTATTCCATTAAAATGTATGTGGGAGGGTAGGAAGGGAAGTTTAATTATTGAATGCGGGTCATGGGTCTTTTTTCAGTATGCGTCTATTACCATTATGCAAAGTTATCTAAAAAATGGTTCTATTGAAACACAAAACAACTAAATTTCACCACTTCTAGAACAATTACCTGGAAAGCTTTATATCATTTTTTAGCAGGATTGACGCAAAACAGGGTTGTAACAACTTATCAAGAAAAACTCGGTCAAAAGAGCTATCTTTTTTAGCATTGAAATTTCATTATTTTCAGTTTTCAAAGGAACTTTATTTTATTATTCAAATTTATGTTTTTTTACTATTCAAATTAATGTTTGGAGTCTTGAAATACAATGTTTTAAAGTAATTGCAATAGGATTAGATGACTGACAAACTTAAAAACTATTATGTAATCCTTACATATTTGATTTTGAATATAACAAAACTAAATGGCACAAGTTGAGATTTAAAGACAGCAGCTGTTTATAATGATAATGTCTACCTTTATTGATGTTTTAGGGTTACTTGAATAGACAGTATGTAACAGTATCTTCATTCCTCTAAGTTGATATAATATATATTGTTGATTTTAATATATCATCACTTTAACAAACATTTCCTGACATTTTGTTTTTCAGATGGGCTTTGCTGGTATAGCAGTAGGAGCAGCTATGGTATTTAACTTAACAAATCATACATTTTTAATTGAATATTGGTGCACTTATCTGAGATCACTCCCCTCATTTTAAGACTGTCTTATTTAAATGCTGGAATAGTCCATTTTAAAATTGATTCAGGGGAAGCAATCCATCTTAATCTGTATGAACAATGATCAGACTTTTACATCCATAAATTTGTATGATTTTTAAACTTGATTGTAACATTAACGGGTAAATCATACTTAAGTTGGTAACCTTAAACTTTACAGTGTGCCTTTATATTTTTATTAATGCATGAGATTAAGCATTAGGGGAAAGTAACGGTAACCTAATTGTTTGTGTCATGTCTATTTTGTTAATACACATATGCCCATTCTGATGAGTGCTTTATAGTAGCAAGAATTATTCTTTTCTAGTAATGGAAAATAAGAGGAGGAATATTTAGCAAACACACAATGTAAAGGATAACAAAATAAGCAATTCGAATTTACTGACATAAAAACAAAAGATTACTTGACTGACCATCTAACTGTAGATGTAATTTTTATTTTTCAGGCAGGTTTAAAACCAATTTGTGAATTCATGACATTTAATTTCTCCATGCAAGCAATAGATCAGGTATGTCACTTTTTAAATTTTATTTTCTCCTTTTATTTTTGTTGAAAGTGTACGTATTTTAATAAAAACAGTTACACTTGAATACAGATAATTATCATTATGGCTGCTTACTAACTGAAATATAGAAAAATTAAGTATATGTAAATTCACCTAAAAAACACCTATTTCAAATGCAACTTTATTTTGGCACATAGCAAAACATGTAATTGTATGATAAGATAGAAATTGTGTTATATTGAATGGTTTTGGGGTTTCTTTTTAAAAGAATATTGCAATTTACAAAAATCAAAACTTTTTCAGAAAATATAATATTAATTTGATCTTAAATTGTTGCACTGTGGATAACTTTAGATAATTTTTCATTAAATGATATTGAATTTGAAGTTTTCCTGAGTTATTAAGATTAACAAATGATAACTATTCAATTCAAAAATTTTATTGTTTAAATCAAGTACATTTAAACAATGGGATTGGATAAAGACTCAGTCTATATTAAGTCTTTCCCATACAAGATTTATAGAATAAATAATTGGTTTTTGCATATTAAACTATTGGTAATTAAATTTAGACATCATCTTGTGTAAAAGTAATTCAGGGGAAGCAAGTATCCCTCATCTGTATAATCAATGTCATCAGATTATACTTACTAAATTGTTTTTAGAGTGCCTATACAGTCAGGATTCTACTTCGTCAAAATTATCTCCTCATTATGCCACCTAATTTTTATAATCGTAAAAATGGAAACCATGGTTGTGATGACATGCTGTCAATTTAGCTCTTAAAAACCGATAAATTTATCCACATAGCATCATTACGATCCTTATTTGCCAGTCGTTTTTTAAAAGACAAATATATTTACTAGTTATTGAACATCATTTAATGTACTTTTAATGCATTTGATCAACTTAAAACTATTGTCTGATCTGTTGTCAGAGGAAATTTTTGAAAGTTCAAAATATTTAAAAAAAACAACTAATTAAATATTTTGTGGAACGGCAGACTAAAAATTTTCAGAGGTTGAAGACTAATTACCCTAGATAACACACACATAAAATGAAGTTTTTTTGAAGTTATGCATTTTTAAGATCCACTTGAAAAATCTGTCGTCAAGTACTTTTAGAACACACCTACTCTGTTGTTATGACACATCAGAAAGGTATTTCACTTGACCCATATATTTCTTTTTTTAGTACTGTAAATTTTTAATGTTATTATATCAACCTTGAGCCTAAATATATAAAAATAATAGATTCTTAAGCGAGATGATGTATCAAATATTTTTCTTTTATACGTTTTCAATACACAATAGTCAACTCAAACACACCTGAACATAAAAAGGTGTACTTTTCTCTTTACGATGCAATTATTGCCCATTTTGGGGATTTTTTCCCAAAAAACTATCACTGGGGGCAGAGATGCAAATTAATGTTTTAAAAAGATCAATCTATTAACAAATATCTCGAAGCTCCATACCAAAATTTAAGTAAAAACACATACATACAACGCATAAAATCCTAAATTATGCACATTCATTAAACTTTTAAAGCCCATAGAAACAGATGTAAACAATTCAAATTTACCAGCTTGGCTTTTTTTTTACCTTCTCTAACAAAGAATTCCATTTCTTTTGTTTAATTGTAACTGGGTTTCCGCCTGCTATAGAGTTTAAGTGAACCATATTTTGCTTTATGTATAGTGTAATTAGACATTTGTTGTAAAAATTAACTGTTTGAATTTCAGGTGATCAACTCAGCAGCTAAAACATTTTATATGTCAGCAGGACAGGTAAGTTATTATAAGAAAAGGTTCAATTTTAGCCAGACAAACTTGTAAACAGGCAAATTGTCTGTGGCTGTTAAGGTGTAATACCACCAAATAATAGTACGTCACATCTGGTTGCATACGAAAAAGGGTCGAAAAAAATATTCCCTTGAATTTGACAGTTGTATGAAATTAATCTTACATTTCATTGCAGTAAAAAAATTCTGAGTCATATATATATATCTTGGGTGTTTCAAAGCACCATTCTTTTTTGTCTCGCCTTGACGGAGTCAAAAAGCGAGACATAGGTATGCTGTTTCCGGCGGCAGCGGAGGCGTCAACAATGTATTAGTTTGTGATTAGGTCTAGTTTATGGTGAACCACTAGTGGTAGGTCAATGATATTTGGTATGCAGTTGTATTAGCATTGGCACATCTCATTACCATGGAGATTATTTGGCCCTGCCCTCTCAGTCATGGTCTATTGACTTCTAAACTTTGATAAGTTTACATGTATTAGTTTGTGATTAGGTCAGTTTATGGGGAACCACTAGTGGTAGGTCAATGATATTTGGTATGCAGTTTTATAAGCATTGGCATATCTCATTTTCATGGAGATTATTTGTCCCTGCCCCCTCAGTCATGGTCTTTTGACTTTGAAACTTTTGCTTAGTTTACATATGTATTAGTCTGTGATAACGTCCGTTTAAGATGAACCACTAATGTTAAGTCAATGATATTTTGTATGCAAATGTATTGGCATTTGCAAGTTTCATTTCCATGGAGATTATATAACCCCACCCCCTCATTATGGTTCATTGACTTTGAAACGTTTACATAGTTTACAAGTTAATGTTTGTGTTTAGGTTTGTTTAAAGTGAACGACTTATGAAAAGTCAATGGTATTTGGTATGCAGTTGTATTAGCATTGGCACATCTCATTTTCATGGAAATTGTTTAGCCCTGTACCTTCAGTCATAGTTCATTGACTTTGAATATTTGCACAACTTACATGTTAAAGTATTGCTATTTTAATTTCAAATTTGCATTATCAAAATAACAAATAGGCGAGACATATCTCTGTGTTAACAGTTTATTTATTTGGTGTTTCTAAAAAATATTTTGGAAACTTGATGTTACATGGTTACTAAAGCTTGTAAACAGGAAAGAAAAGGGTGGAAATTTGATTGGTTAACTTCCAGTGATGGTTATTATCTTATATGCAATGAAAGGCTATGTGAAATTTTGTTTGTAGTACTGGACAGGATAAAACTTTACTCATGCCAAGTATTTTTGTATTTGAAACAAAGATAAATTCTGCACAATGTTTTGAAAAGTGCAAATTTAACAAAGACTAATAAGGGAAAAACAATGGTGGTATTACACCTAGCCCTTAACACTTTAAATTTTGTACATTTTATTGTCATCTATTGAAAATGTTTACAAGAAGTGTTTTCCGTAACATTCAGAGTTTTTAAAATCTTTTTTTCCCTGGTGGTCCTTGAAGAAAATCTGCTGGTCCGCACTATTATTTCTATTGCAAAATACCAAAATTGTGTCGGTCTTTTGCAAAATTTTGGTGGTCAAAACCTTTGGACCACCACTTTTTCAAGAACTCTGAATGTAACATTATATCATCCATAGTCCACCTTCTTTTTATTTCGTAGATTTTTAAAAATATTTATGACTCATGCGTTCAGGTCTTCAGTTGATAACCACAGAATATTGCCCCAAGTAATGAGGTTGCATGAAAATGATTACTGGTAACTGAGTAGTTCTTGCCAAGACGTCTGTTATTAAATGTGTGTAAAATATTATGTACAATGTAATATCAAGTCAAAAGTTTCACATGTTTGCATCTAACAGCAAAAAGTTTTTTTTTTAATGTTTGCTTCTACAATATATCACATAGTACACTAGGATTGGGACTAATTTACACTTCTGTCATATAGTTCCCACTGAATTATCAGAGATATCTTAACAGTCGTAACATCTGTACTGTGATGTATAAGTGAGCTCCAGTCTCACCTTTAACTATACTTTGATTTGAATTTTACTATTTGGTTTGACAGGTTCCGGTTCCTATTGTCTTTCGAGGACCAAATGGAGCTGCAGCTGGTGTTGGAGCCCAACATTCACAGTGTTTTGCTTCATGGTACAGTACATGTCCAGGGCTAAAAGTAGTATCCCCATTCTCATCAGAAGATTGTAAAGGGTTATTAAAAGCATCAATTAGAGATCCTAACCCAGGTCTGTATGAAAGGATGTTAATTAAAAAATGTTTGCAGTTAATTGAAAGGAATCTGAAATACCAGTGCTTGAAGTTTTATGGTTTAGAAACATGTTTTATAAAAACAATATTGAATGTTTGTGTTTGTTATTTTATTTGGGTGTAAAAGCATTGACCAAAGGACATTTTGTATGAAGCTCGGAAGCCCTTCATATTAAAAATGTGGACATGTTCAACATGTTCACATCACTTTAAAAAATTTAAAAAGTATTCGTTTGATTACATTTTTATGCTAGAACCATGAAATTAGAAGTTAGATCAAGCCTTTGATTATGCATTGTTTATCATTGTCACGGAGAGCATGTGCAGTCAAAGATGTTGCATTTTATATGGAAATAAAATTCAACTTTAGGAATGCCTTAGCCAATCAAAATTAGGGAATCCTATGAAACTTCTATATAATGTAATTGTAAATTCACTGCTTGCATTTATTTAGTTCACCTTCGATTATTTAATATTTAGTTATATACAACACCTTAACAAACAGATCAGTAACTACAAAATGTCTAAAATAAATGTTTTGAAGTGAGTCAAATGTCTTTTTTGCGTATAAAGACTCTTGCTCATATTCAAATTTACCAAAACCTATATGTAAATGGGGATGTTAGTAAATGACATATTTATAATGTCAGTGATATCACAAAAACATTAATGCGGCATAAAAAGTGCTCCAGTGTGACCAGACTATATAATCCTATTCATGTATCGGGGAAATTAACATAATATTGAACAGCATTAAATAGTTTGACTATTTTTGCAAATAATGATTTGTATACCTCATCCTTTATATACTCATTGGTACATGAATGTAAGACAAGTTTTACACAATTATGTGCTAAAATCATGTTTATGGTTATTTTGAATTACTCTAATTTTAGATATTTTTTCTTTCCAGTTGTATTTTTAGAGAATGAGATTATGTATGGAACATCATTTGATATGTCTGATGAAGCTATGTCAGAAGATTTTGTTATTCCTATAGGCAAAGCAAAAATAGAAAGACCAGGTAAAGTAGGTCATATGTTTGATGAAGCTATGTCAGAAGATTTCGTTATTCCTATAGGAAAAGCTAAATTAGAAAGACCAGGTATGTAGGTCATATGTCTGATGAAGCTATGTCAGAAGATTTCGTTATTCCTATAGGAAAAGCTAAAATAGAAAGACCAGGTAAGTAGGTCATATGTCTGATGACACTATGTCAGAAGATTTTGTTATTCCTATAGGAAAAGCTAATATAGAAAGACCAGGTAAGCAGGTCATATGTCAGAAGAAATCTGTATGTTGATAGTCTAAGAATGTTGAATCTTGATGGTGATGGTTTGATACATGCTTTGAAATGGTTTCCATGCCAATACTTGTACTGCATGCATTCTTTAATATATGTCCCATTTCAGATAACAGTTACCCATGATTGAAGTGAGTGTCATGGCCTTGACCCTAGGTTAATCTTGATTTGAAACATGCATTAAAATGGTGCCCAGGCCATATTTTTAAGCTACCTGCTTGAATCTCATTGAAGGTTTAGTTCAAACTCAGAAAATGTAACAAAATCATGTCCAGACTATACCTATTACCTGTTTTAAGTTTCATCGATACAAATAATATTTCATACAGTTACTACCAATGGCTCAGAACATATCAGGTTTTTTAACCAAGGCCATAGTTTTATGGTCAAAGTTATAGACAGTTTGTCTAACAGACATAGATTTTAATTGTTCACATAAGGATTGTTCTAATTTTTATATGGCCGTTATGGGACGTATTATGGTATACCGATGTCAGTCTATCCATCCATCGTCAACATGTCAGACAATAACTCAAAAACGCTTAAACCAATTTTCATCAAACTTTGGAGAATTGGTTATATCTATTGACGTAAGCTCCCTTTGGATTTTTATAAATTTTAGATTTAACGTTTTTGAGTTATGAGATTATATTCATAAAAAGGGCAGGCAAAATTGGCCAAAAAAATGGCAAGTTTTCAGTCAATAACTGAAAAATGCTTTCAGCAGTTTTCATGAAACTTTGGTGGCTGGTTTATATCTATTAAAATAAGCTCCTTTTAGTCTTTTTTATAAATTTCTGATATAACATTGAGGAGTAATGGAACTTTTTTTAGTTAAAAAAGCGACAGGCGTATCATGCGCTCATGGCGCAGCCCTTTTTTTTAGTATGTTCATATGATACATATTCTATGCCATAGATTTTCATTGTTCAATGTTAAATGTATTTTCCATGGAGTAATTACTGTATTAACATGTTATGTATATATTGAAGTGGTTTGAAAAGAGGACTCAATAAAACTATAGAATGATTGTGTACAAGTCTGGGTCGAGAAATTATATAAATCTATCTTTGAAAGCTCTCATTACTAAACAAGCATATCATTTGTCTTTCTATTATATGAAAGTTAATTAGTCATTGTAAACAACAGATTAGAAACTAGAGAAACACATAAAAACACTCAGAAAATAAAGCAGTCTGTGAATTTAATTGAAATAATGTAACATTAAAGAAAAGATACAAATAGGATGCAAGTATGATATTTTTTTATTTGATACTCCATAGCTTCCTTCCCCTTTAATATATTAATGAACAGTGATTAAATAGCTTATCTTTGTACTTTGTAGGTAATCACATAACGTTAATATCACACAGTAGATATGTAGGACATTGTTTAGAGGCAGCCAATGAATTAGCAGGACAAGGTGTGGAATGTGAGGTAATATTTTATATAACTTAGTCAGAGAAAAATGATATTAGGTAAATTAGCTTGAGACATATGATAAGATGTAACATTGGTTTTGTAAAAACTAGATGCTCTGTGTAAGATAGATTTTTTAACCCAAACATCTTTTTTATCCATGTACAAAATCAATATGCCCAGACTTGCTCATTGTTTCTTTGTTGGTCATTTAGTTATTTCCTCTCAATGACATGATAGATAATGACAGCTTTTTAGGATTTCTCTTACTATTAATTGTTTTTTTAGATTCTATACTATCACATTTTCAGTTTTACTCTGATTTAGTTTAGTTTAAACATATTTTATTTGCAAAAAAAAACTCACAAAAAGGATTAGACACAAGTTAGTCCAACTAAGATCGTCTTCTAAGATACAATATTAGACATAAGAATTTCATAGCATGCAAATATCAAATTTATTATTACACAATATATAATCAAACATCTGTAATTTAAATGACATATTAAGTGACAGTTTAGTCCAATGATATTGCTGTTCTTGTAATACCTTGAGATGAATATTCATGGCATAAATTTTTCTCTTACTTTGACTTAAAAAGTAAATTAGTACTTTGATTTCAGGTAATAAATTTAAGAACAATTAGGCCAATGGATGAAGAAACGCTTATAAAATCAGTAATGAAAACAAACCATTTAGTAACAGTCGAGGGTGGATGGCCACAGTGTGGAATAGGATCTGAAATATGTGCCAGAATCATAGAAAGTATGTTGAGTCAATATTATTTCTTTCTGCAATAAGTAATTATACAAATAGAAGCATGCAATTAATTTTCATAATATCATAAATGTTATACCTCTTAACATGAAAATTTTCACAAGATAGAATTTATTAAGCTTATGTGTTTAAAGATAGAAAAAAATGAATGTTATGCATAGTGATACTTTAAGTATGTGTGAGAGAGAAAAACAGTATCTTTATTTGAGGTATTTGTGGTTACCATGCATGTAAATGCTGTAATATAATTATTTTGTAGGTCAAGCCTTTAATTACCTTGATGCACCAGTATTACGTGTAACAGGAGCTGACTTACCAACACCATATGCAAAACAGTTAGAAGATAGCTCTTTTCCTCAAACTCATAACATTGTTGGAGCAGTCAAAAAGTCTTTGAATATTTCCTAACAGATACTCATTATAGGTGATTTTAAACTGTTTTGACTTACTTAGAAAATGAGTTTAAATTGGAGTTAGATATATCTTATAGCAGAATTGTTTCATCATGAACATAGTACAGTGACTTCATGTTTTGAGAAATTTACTATTAAATGGATCAGTTTCTAATATGAAGTACATTCTTTTTGATATAATGTTCATGTGTTAAAAGTTATTTTTTAAGTCAGGTTGATTTCCTGTAGATAAAATTTTATCAAATGTAGCTGTTATTTTTTATTTTGATATTCTGTTGAATCTCATGAAGATTAATATGTGTAAACTAAAAGTGATGTCAGTAATAAAGTCTTTATAATGATGTTACTTTCTTTAGAAACCAAGGTATATTAAAGAGCATTATTCAGAGATATTAGTTAAAAGAGATTGTATGTTCCAATGTTCTTGGCAAAAGGGGGGGGGGGGGGGGGGCGTTTAGAGTGAATTTTTATCTCCTTTCTGGGGGAAAGGGAGATGTTTAAAGTGAATATTGCGTCCTTTTGTTTGTTGATTATGTTAAATCCATCTGCACTGTGTAGCTGCAACGCCTAATAAACCAGTGACTAGATTTCATTGAAACTGCAAGAAAAGGTTCGCTACATATTGCACATCTTGTTTTATATTTTGACCTGACTAAATTTTTGTTTCCCATAATTTTTCCCAGTTATAACAAGTATGTCCCATCAAAAAAAGTACTACCAAACTTTTATTATTGTATTTGTGTTAACAAACTTTGGTTGATGTCTTAACATACTCCTGCTGGAAGCAATAACAACAAGAACCATGTAGAAAGCTTTTCCCTCTTACCTACGAATATTTCCTTGTTATTGTTTTTAATTGCATGTTTAACAGTTGCGTTTACAAAAAATAACAATCAGATTTAAGCTAATGAGATCAAATTGAGAAAGATGGCTTGAACTATTAAGTTTAATTATAAAATAAGTAGTGATACAATTTGTTTATTTTTGAGAGAAAAAAAGTTTTTATTTCAAATTGTATTTGTTAATCTACAATGGATAAAAATACTATTGATTTAAATATAAAAGTAAAACTGTTGCCCATTTAAAGTTTTAAGCTATCAATTTCAGTCTGAAAGTTATTGCAGTAAACTTGGATGAATTTCATTTCATTGCATTTGTTGTTTTCTGTTATGTGTGAAGTTTGTATCATTTATGTTTCAATATTATTTATGTGAAAATTAAAGGCAGTGAAATAAAGCTTATGTTTATTTCTCACTATTAAACATATACTAGTACTTAGAAATGACTGAGAGTAGAACATAAAAATAATGTATAAAACATCTACTGGGGAATAATGAAACAAAATGAAGCTAGTTAATTGTGTTCCTATGACATGTAATTAAGCCATCATATTATAAAAATAAGAGATGACTTCTCTTGTTTTATTTAAATAATAGTTATTGAAGAACTGGTCATTATCGTGATATATGGACTGCCCACAGGACAGTGGTATTGACTACGACACTGATAATGACTGAGCTGTAGGCGACGTCATTATCGCTGTCGCAGTCAATACCACTATCCTACGGGCAGTCCATGTATCTCGATAATGACCAGTTCTTCAATAACTATTAAGTTTATTTCATTGAGGAACCATGTTTTTAAAAATCCTCATAAATTCAAATTGTTCAAAGCAAACTCAAGTTATTGTACGATTTCTATAGGAAAGAGTGAAGACCAGTCCTAGTGATAAGTATAAGTCACTGCCATTCTTTTAAGTGCAATTTTTCAGTAGATGAATACCAAATAAAGTTTTCTATAATTTTATAATTCTTGTTGCGGAGTAGTTTGTCTCTATCAGCATCGGAAAGAACGGCAAAACGATCATTTGAGTTGTCTGTAGCAGACGTGCCTTCCAGTTCAGCCATGTTCCAAACGTCTGAATCACGATTGCGTTTTATTAAAGGTACATCACTCTAAATAGAGAAACCACGCCCCACTTGTCATTAACATGTAAAAGTCCGTTAACGACCGGTTTTCTGGTCCGGTTTTTTTTCTGTTAAAGACCGATGGAATTTTTTACTAAAGAATAAAGAATGTCATGTGGCCCCTTGTTATCAAATAAGAGAAGCTAATTCTTAACCGATATGAAATAAATTATAATAATCAGAGATGACAACTCTTGTTTTTGAAAGTTATATATGAGGGTCTGGATGGGGGGGGGGGGGGGGGTCCTTCAATTCTGTATTCTTTAATTTTTTAGGTCATTTTTCTCTATTCTTTATATATTTGCCCATTATTATCTATTGCATGTTAAACAGTTGCGTTTAAAAAGAAAACAATCATCTATTTTTTGCCCATTATTATCTATTCTTTATATTTTAGCACTCCATTATTCCCTATTCTTTACTTTTTTGGCCGATTTTTCTCTTTCTTTATATTTTTTGGCCTTTTTTCTGCACTTTTTACCCATAATTCTCTATTCTGTAAACCCAATCCTGACCCTCATATACCTCTTATATCATACAAATGGATATATAATAGTGTCTGACTTTACACATTTTGAGCACTTCATTATCCTATCTCTTTTGATTTAACATGACACGTGATGTCTGAACCATAGGATATTCTTATCGCGTAGATGCCCTGATTTGGTGTTTAGATGATTCCATCACAGTTCTTTTCTCTTGGCAGGAACATTCAAAATTAATTTATGAGTAATGAACTTTGGTAGTACTGGTGTCTCTTATTGACTTACTCGACTAATTTTCATGGTTCGGTAATCCAAGTAAAGTTTTTCTTGTTTGCTTAGGTCAGTTTCTAATTTAATACGAGTATTAGTTAAACTATAATTGCTATTTGGAGTAAATGTTTGTCTGACAGGGGTCACCTTATTATAACAGTATTTTCATTGTTTCGATTGACAATGCAAAAAAATGGTGCTCGGGTTAGTCTCTCAACTTCAATTATATGGGAACGTTTGGGTCTATGTTGAAGGCCTCACTGACTTGGACATGGCAAACAGAATGCAATAAAACTGCTGTTTTTTTTACATTGGTGTTATTATGTTTGCGTAGTGATTGCGTGTCATGAATTGATAAACCAAATCCTTTCTTTCCCATTTTATGGACAGAGTCTTGTCTAATGTTGTGTTGATGCTGTAGAAAAAATTCTGTGCTTGAGATGTATTGCTCTTTTTTACAGTTATGAAGGTTTTTTTTCTTGAGATAACTTCTTTAAAAATGTGTATTGCTACTTCATTTTTTCCTTTCTGCCATTTTGATTATTGCTATTGTTGTGAAGCATGCCCCCAATTCATACATAATTTCCTGCCAAGTTTTAAAATATATATGTTGAGGAGCCCTGTGGTTGTATAAAGGTTTTTGTTGTTTCTGTGTAATTTTCAGTTGCATAGCCTTAATTTAGGCAATGAGGCAACTTCCTCACTAATTTGACCAATGAAAATATAGGAGAGATAGAGAAAGAATGACGAAATGTATAGTTTGAAGTATACGATGGTTTTTAAAAATACTTTACTTCTCTATCCTTTAAACAATTATATCTCCTATTCAATGTGAAGACATTGAAAAGAATAAGCCCATTTCGTTCAATAAAAGAATCAACTAAGATGCAAATAGCTTGTTTTAGGGAGGGACTAATCTTCCTTACATATCCTTGACAACGGTTGAGAACTAAACTTCACGACAAAAGAGATATCAATTTAGCCTTTGAAATCTTCATTTATGTAGAAACATTCTTTTGGCACCTGAATATGAAGTATTTATCTCCTCATCGGTACAATATTCCATATTCTATGGGGTGTTAATCTTAAAATGATTTTTTTTATAGAAACTGACAAACCGGAGACGCATTTCTATATGCAAAAAAGGAGATTGTTTATGATTGCTTAAAGTCCATTCGTAAATATTTCATGCATATTCAGTAAGAGTACAAATTAACAGTGAATATGTTAGTACAGGTTTTGCAAAATAGGTTGACTTGAATGAAGAGTGGGAAATTCAGACTGCCACTGAAACAGAGGTATTTTGCACAGGTTCAGACATAGTGCCATAAAACAGGTCACTCATAAGCCCGTCAATGTTGCAAGGGTTTATTAATGTGCAGATAATGTGGTACACTCCCTATACATGTATTTGTCTGCGTATCTTTAAGTATATCCTGCATAGTAAAGGGTCGTTACCCTTAGGCATGGGTTTTATACAACTTTTTCTTAAGTCATTGTATTTTGACCCCCTACCATGGAAATTAAACCCCTTTCCAAATAGGTCAAAATTTTAATTTATGATAGCATTTACACTACCACAACAAGTTGTAATGCTACACTAAGTATCTTGAAAGAATAGCATATGTTGGAAAAGGTCGTATAACACTTTTTCATAGCCATGGTATTTTGTACCATGGAAATTTGAACCCCCTTTCTAAAGGTCAAAAATTGACATGAATTATCATTGATATGGTCATAATTATATATTAACTGTTTAAAAAAACTTTGAATGTTCTACCACAGGAATAGATTACTTTAGCTGTATTTGACAAAACCTTTCCGAATATTGGGTCCTCAATGCTCTTCAACTTTGCACTTTATTGGCCTTTTTAACTTTTTTTTTCGAGCATCACTGATGAGTCTTTTGTAGGCGAAACGTGTCTCTGTTGTACAATTTATTATGAGCCTGGTATCTATGATGAGTTCACTTTTAAAAGAGGGACAAAAGATACCAGAGGGACAGTCAAACTCATAACTTATGATAGCATTTACACCACTTTTACTAGTTATACTTCAATGATAAATATCTTTAATGAAAAACATATGTTTGAAAATATTTTGTAACACTTTTTCTTAGCCCTGGTATTTTGACTTCTCTACCTATAGGTCAAAATTTTAATTTATGATAGCATTTACACCACTTGAACTTCTTGTAATGCTGCAATTAGTATCTTAAATGAAAAACATATGGTTTTAAAGATTTCATAACACTTTTTTGGCCATGGTATTTTGATTCCCCCATCATGGAAAATTGAAGTCCATATCAGATATCAGAATTTCAATTTACAATAGCATTTTAAAACTACTTATTCCATTATATTGTGTTCCTATTAGTATCTTGAAAGAATAAACCTGGGGTTAAATTTTCCATAGGTGTTTCCGTGGGTTCAAAATACCATATGGCATCGGACGATAGAATTCAAGATCGCCATATTTTTGTACACAATTGTCCATACTTCGTAATTTTTATATATGATAAAAACTAATAAACTAGTTATTCTGTCATGAAAAAAATTTAATGCAGTTCTATAAATAGTAGACTTTTACATCAAGCACACAAGTCAATAATATCATGTATATAGAGTTTGAATAATGATTACCTTCTTCAAATTTTGTGTGTCGTGTTGTGTCTTATTTTGTGGTCTTAAAGTTCAGCTCTGTCTTGCAACGTTATACGTTTGGGAATATGCCATAATTGCATTCATAGAATGGAACTGGGTGTGTTTGTGGCCGAAAGAAGTCTGGTTCAAGTCTAACACCTTCAGCCACGTGCATTCGCATAATACATGAAGTACCAAGTCGGGAATATGACAGTCAACCATCAATTGTTTTAATTTTAATCAGTTGAATATATTACCCCCTACTTGACAGTATATATTATTATTCTTGCAGTTAGTTTATGTGTTACTCCCTGTTATTAATACCTGATCCTGTTCAGTATGTGCCGGCGATGTTCAATCGACCTTTTTTTAGAAAATATACTGTCAGTTTTGCTAATGGTTTTATTTTATGTTCACTTTGCTTTTTTTTTAAATATCCGTTTATGAACGACAAAACAGACCTATAACAGGTGTTAGTATATCACATTTTACGCATTTCATAAAGCAGGAAAGTCTTCCATGATACAGCTGAAAAGTAAAATAACAAAAATACCGAACTCTAAGGAAAATTCAAAACGGAAAATCCCTTATCAAATGGCAACATCAAAAGCTCAAACACATCAAACGAATGGAAAACAACTGTCATATTCCTGACCTGGTACAGGCATTTCCTAATGTAGAAAATGGTGGATTAAACCTGGTAGAATTAAAATAGGATTGAAACTTTACGGTATCTATTACAATTAGTGCATCAGTTGCTACTGTTTACATCAGGGACAGGCAGTTAGAAAGGCTAGTCCTACAAATACGACCTTGGGTTCATGTCTTGCTCTAAACGTTAACTATCGGATTGTTGCATTTTCAGTTTTGATTGCTGAATCACGAGCATTATCAGCATTTTAAACAAAAACAAAACATTATCAGCAAAAAATGTAGAATAGAAAAATAAAAAATGCAAAGTTGTATGTTACACATCTATAAGAAAGGTTTCTCTAAAGATTCCGGTCTAGCACCAGATGAAAATATATATAAGTACGTCTGAACCAGTGACAACTCTACAACAGATTTATCCATCGGATCACCAGCAGTGATGGTGATACATGGCTAGCTGTGCCACCGAAAGCTTTATTATTGTGAAGTCTAGGTGGTCGTGTGGTCTAGCGTGTCGGATACAGTGCAGGCGATTTGGTGTCTCGATATCTCAGTAGCATGAGTTCGAATCCCGGCGGGGGAAGAACAAAAAAATTGCGAAAGCAAATTTCAGATCTTACATTGTTGGGCCGATGTTAAGACGAGTTGTATATATATATATATATATATATTAGTCAAATGCGTTTTGTTAAAATATACTTTTTCACTTTTTTGGTCTTTTGGAAAATGTTGTTTGTGCTGTATTTAGACCCCTCTACCAAGAAATTTGTTTTGCATGCACACGTATAAAAATTGCGATTTTTATTCAACGCAATCATAGGTTTGAACGTTGTTCTCAATTTAGACTTGTTTATATTTTTTCGTTTGGGCATGTGTTATATTTTCCTTCGGGTTTATATGATCCGTTCATCCTATTTCGACTCTTTAAAATTCAAGAGTCTTTCCTAACTTGAGACAAATGTTATGGCCTTCCAAATACTGTTTCGATCCCTAACATCACCGAAGAGACATTAATTGTCGAAATCCGGGTATGTTGTACTAATTTTTGCATCTTTTCCGCAAGTTCATTGTTTTCTGTTTGGTATAAACTTAATAATTAAGATCCATTATGTTACATCTTGTGAACCGTTTATTTGGCAATCGCCAATGGCAGTCAGCAGGGTTTAAGAACATCTGTTGTTTGACCTGTTAGTCAAAAGTAAAATCACAAAAATACTGAACTCCGAGGAAAATTCGAAAAGGAAAGTCCCCAATCAAATGGCAAAATCAAAAGTTCAAACACATCAAACGAATTGATAACAACTGTCATATTCCTGACTTGGTACAGGCATTTTTTTATGTAGAAAATGGTGGATTGAACCTGGTTTTATAGCTAGCTAAACCTCTCACTTGTATGACAGTCGCATCAAATTCCATTATATTGACAACGATGCGTGAACAAAACAAACAGACACAATAGGTAAAAATGTCAAAAATATGCGTTTTGTTAAAATATACTTTTTCACATTTTTGGTCTTTTGGAAAATGTTGTTTGTGCTTTATTTAGACCCCACTACCAAGAAATTTGTTTTGCATGCACACGTATAAAAATTGCGGTTTTTATCCAACGCAATCATAGGTTTGAATGTTGTTTTCAATTTAGACTTGTTTATATATATATATGTATATATAAAAATTGCGTAGAAAATCAACCTAACAATGTTAGAGTAGATTTGATTCTTTACTTCCTCCCCGAGCGGGGCTGGAACCTGTACTTTTCACTTCATACTTCTACGGCAGCACCGCCTAGCATTGCGCAGACGATTTATCCCCTCCTCTAACTATAGCTGATATATATATATATATAAAATATTTCGTCCGCAAAAAACCCTTCATTAACAACAATCCCCATAATGAGATTATTGTCCCCTAACAAAAACTTTTAAAGAGAAATATATCTTAGTGCAATCTTTTTCTGCTGAATTGTATCATTCTCCATATTCAGGCGCCGAAAAATGTTTCTACATAGAGATGGAAAGATTACGATAACATTGAAATTATCTCTTGTATAGTTTAGTTCTTCTTAAAAAAACATTTGTATGGAGACATTGTGAAAAGAATAAAGGAACAGTCGATAAGAAAAGGAGCACAGTTAGTTCCCATAGGAAAGCCAACTATTGAATTACACATTCAGCGAATGTATTAAAATTAGTTGTCAATAAAGAATAAGGCTTTTAGCGATTGATGATGTCAGTTTGACAGAACTTCCTGTTTCAGTGTGGGATTTAAAAAATAATAATTTAGCCCCTTCCTTAAACAAGATACTTGCATATATGCTGATTCCTTTTTAAAATAAAGATGAACTTATTCTTCAGGCTTTTTTGATACTCAGAAAGATGTATAATCGCTTTAAGGGTAGAGAAGTAAAATGTTTAGAACCATCTTATATTTGAAACTACAAATTGTTCATTTCGTCTTTCTATCTTGAACTTTTCTAAATTTTTCTCGGTCGAAATTTATTGATGAAGTAGCTTCATTGCATAAATTTGAGCTACGCCACTGAAAATACTGAAACAATAGAAACAGTTAGACAATCAAAGGACACCTTAAGATATATTTTAGATAGCTTGGAAGGAAATTATGTATGAAAAGGGCAAATGATTTGAGAGTCCTGCATAACAATGTCAATAATGAAACAAAATGACAGAAGGAAAAAAGAAGACGAATCACACAATACGTAAGAAGTCATCTTAAGACAAAATAAGCCATATCTGTAAAAATGGAAAAGCACGCATCTCAGGCACAAGAATATTTTTTACTGCATCAACACAGCACTAGGCAATCTCTGTTTATAGAATGAAAAATAAAGGATATGGTGTATCAATTCATGACACACAATCACTACGCTCACTAAAGGCAAATGAACACCGTTTATATTGCTGTTCTTCATCACAAAGTTACAGTGAGCACAACTGTTAGTATAATAACACTTTAACAGACGTATCAACTATGTTGTTAATAAAAAAAAATGAGGCATCTTGTTGATATCAGTTATAGATATTCTTGTTTGCGTGCCAGTTTTTTTCTTATTCACATTTAAACGAGTATAAGTCGCTTCCTAAAACAATATACTTGCACGTACGTTGAATCTTTTATTAACAAAGTTTTGTTAATTGTTTTAATCCTCTTTAAGTTTATAATGTGAAATAATTGGGTAAAGGGTAGAGAAGCAATATATAAACTACGAAATACAAATTACACATTTCCTCTTTCTTTATTGTTTTCTTGTTAAAATATATATATAGTTAGGCACGAAGCTAAGCCAGGGAGTGATTTTTTTGCTTAGATTTTCTATTTATAATAGACATTGTCAAAAATCCTTAATTTTCTTTCAAGCTGTCAAAACAATCTCTACATAAAAGTTATGCTTTGAAAGATGAATACTCCTCTGCCTTATTATCATCGTCTTGCATATTTTAAACATGTATGCTACATAACATTGGTGTGTGGTTTGTACTCGAGGCGAAGTTTTGAAAATGCAATTACACACCTTCATGAACAGTATTAGTCTTATCAACTTAAAACTTAATTAAAATATTGATCAAAAACGAATATGAAATAACTTCACCTGCTAAAAAGAACTTAATTATCATAATAAAATATACATCTATCTATCCCTATTGGGAACCCTGTAAATACACAAAGGCTAAGATTTGAATCTCAATGAAAAGTCGAAGGTCAGTTCATACCCTGCATTCACTTTCAACGATCATTATGTTATAGTTATTTTCAAAACAAATAAATTAAAATTTTAGGACATTTAAATTCTTTTCTTTTCAAAGACAGCAATACTGTAGAAAGAACGTGGGAACTATTTTAAATTTGTGTTTTACTTATAAATATATTAATAGTCATGATCGTGTTGATTTAGTTAAATTTTCAAACAGTGCAGAACAGTCATACAATAACAAGCAAAGTACACATTTTGGTGCGACCAGGACAACAATTGAACGTCTAATTCGAGGATTTGTACAGACTTTAATACCAGGAGTTGACTAGCTTACGGTCTATACCAAACTATTATTTAAAGGTCATTAGGCAAACAATAAATGTATAATATTGACAAAAATAATATATGATTGCACCTTTTCCCACATATATATAACGCATTTAATTATTTTTTAAATATAATTGTACCAACTTACCTGGTTAACGGACGTATGTTTAGTTCAGGATGAGACATGTACAAGAAGACAAGAAGACTATTTAAGTTTTCACCAGATTGAAAAAAATGGGGTAAGATTCATCTTTCTGTATCGGTTTTCCTTTAAAGTTGGTTTGTTTGTCTGATGTTCGACTACTGTTTAAAAAAGCATTGAGTATCTGATCATAAATTACTTTTTTATCCTTTTATAAGGTTATTTTTTATCACTTTATAAGGTTATTGCATTTTTATTTTTCAGGAAAAGTAAAAAGTACAAATTCCAAAAACTATGGACTGGGAATGATTACGCTCTCAGACACAGTAACCAACAGCGATCTCCATCTGAAGAAACAGTCAGAGTTCTAACAATGCAAATACGTAACGTACCAGAACAACCCTCTAGTTTTATGAAGAAATCTGAAGATGATGAAATTACAAAATATCCAGAAATTACACAAAATCACGATGATCCTGATGGAAGGAATACACAAAAGAAAAAACCTATTGCTTGCCTTGAATGTGTTAAACCGATTCAGGTTTTAACAAGAAAAGAAATAAAAAGAGGGGATCACATCAAATTCCATGGACGAATATATGATCACCATGCAATTGTAGTCGATGTTAAACCTTCAAACGAAAAAGATCATAAAGCAGTCGTAGAATTGGTGCATGCATCAAACACGACAGCTGGTGCAATATATTGTTGTATGCGGCCGTTTGGTAGCAAAGCAAAACTGTTGAGTGAAACGAAACGAATAAATTTAAAAAAGATAAAAGTGATGGTTTATAAATATTCGTATACAATTGAACATTTTTCGCCCAAAGAGATTGTCAGTAGAGCAGTCACAGCGAAATCAAACCCTAATTTCAAATATAATGTGTTAAATAATAATTGCGAGCATTTTGCAACACAGTGCGTTACAGGAGAAAGTCTTAGCTTGCAAGTTCGAAAGATAAGAATGGTAAGGCGACTTTTTGCAAATCGAGGATTTCAAGGTATCAGCGACGAAGTTTTTCGAAATAAAATCGAATATGAAAATGGAATGCTCTGTGTTCCGTGTTACGAGAGAAACAAAAAATTATTAAGTGTCGCAAAACAACCGATCAAATCGAAAGGGGACGTGGAGATCGGTGATATAATTGCATACACCTATTACAGATGTTGGCATTCTGCTGTCGTACTTGAAATCGAATCACACGACAGGTCACTACGGTGCAAAATAGCTCATTATGCTTTTCGTGGTTTACATAGACATAGAAAAATTCGGGAGGAAACATTAAGAATTCCATTCGATGGAAGTGTAAAAGTAGCTAATTATTCTGAGCCTGATTATACTGTCTACGATCCAGAGGAGGTGGTGGAAAGGGCTCGAAGTAAGCTTGGCGAAAAACGTTATGTACATTTTTCAAATGATTCAAGTCATTTTGCTCGTTGGTGTAAACTTAAATTGTATAGAAATTGAAATTTATTGCTATAAAAACCAATAATGTGCATGGAATCCTTACGAAACATATGCATACAATATGTCTTCTTAAAAGAATGTTTGCTTTGTAATTAGCTGCATATTTGATAGTAACAAAATAAAAATGGTAACATAATCCAATCTCCACAAAAATATTAAGCACTGACGGAGGAACTTGGAGCTTTTGTTCAATCCCCGATTTTTCAGTTCAAAAACTTTAAGATAGATAAAATCTTCGATACTAAACATTGGCCTTTAAAATCTGCCAATAGTATATTGGAAACATTGCTTTTCAATTCATTGTACCTTATTATGTGTGATTTTTTTTAAACAATTGAAATGATTTTAATAAAAATTATCAATTTATGACGCATGACTTTAAAGGCATAACACAGACATGATATCACATACTACTTTACTTCAAAGCCAAATCCAAATCAAATCTCAGACAATCAAATATGTTATCGTAGGCAAATGAATGCTATAGTAAAACGTGATGAGGAATATAATTTAAAGGGATAAGAACAAAATAGACGACACTAACTATGAGAAAACTTTGAAGAAAATTTACCGCACAACGTACCAGCTGTAACCTTATAACGGTCACCACAAGTGCGCTAGTGATTGGACCTTCTCAAGAAAACGTTCTTTTGAATAGTAATAGTGGAGAAAAAAATATTAATGAAAACAAAATTTTCTTCTAATGATTACCTTTTTCCTCAAAGTATTACACGCAAAGAGATTAACAGCTACAGGAGGTAGAAAATAATAGTAAAATGTTGCTATGCAATAAAAATCATTACAGAGGCAGTATCTACGAAAGTCATGAATTTTTAAAGCCGTGAAAATGCGGTAACTTTTTAGATATCAATGAAAAAATATGTTTCATGTCATTTTCAACGCTCGGGTAAATGAAATTAAGAACAAAAGCCTTATTTTTGTCACCTGTAAGACCAGACCAAAATGTACACTCACGTCACGAGCAATGGCCTAGACCTTCTTGAAGCACATGTTCACAAATACGAAAAGTAATAACAACTTCAATTTCACTTCAGTGTTCGAATTAAATTAATGTTATTTTGGCCGAATCTCTTTCTTTTTTTTTTTAAAGATTTTTAATAATTAATTAGTAGAATTATTACACTTCTAAAACTATCGTATGTAAATAGGTTATGATTTTCATTCCGAGTCAATGAAGGACGGAAGGGATAATTGTTATTATAGAACTATTTAAAATTCCTAGCAATATTTTTGTGTTAAGAACTAAAATGTAATTGTAAAATTAAAAAAAAACAAAAGTCGGTTTAATGAATGCAGTACATTTTGTGTGCTTGTAACAGTTTCATTTTTGTTATATATTATGTTGTTGTGTAATTTCTACGCTTTGTTCTGTTTTGTACCCTTTATTTGGCCTCTCAGCTGACCACATTTGTAAACAGTGAATTATTCTCCCGTAAAATCTCATTTTCCGAACTTATCTTATTATTTTTTTTAATTACAATATTGCTTAAATCTCGAATATGACTTCTTGTACATACTCGCATCAATCATTTAATCGTTTCTCTAAATAAGTTATTATGAATTCGCGTGCTACGCATTAATCCGATGCGTACATTCAGATGAGGTTGTTGCAACTTCGTTACCAATTCAAGTTCACTGAGGCCTTTAAACTTGTCTACTGGTTGCATTGTTTCCCAATATGTATCGTGGTCCCAAGGACTAACTCGTTAAATAAAGGCAACAGTAGTATTCCGCTGTTCGAAACTCATAAATCGATAGAGATAAAAACAAATCCGGGTTACAAACTAAAACTGAGGGAAACTCATCAAATATAAGAGGAGAACAACGACACAACAAAAACACAACATTAAAATGTAACACACATAGAAACGAACTATAATGTAACAATGCCAATTTTCCTGTCTAAGCTATCTATCTTTTTAGTCAGTTATTCAAAGTTGTCGGTTACTACCATTGCATGTTGATTTGGTAAATACTTTTTCTTAATCAATAGAACTATGTACTACTACACATTTATAAAGTTATTCAATAGTTATATGGATATGGGGATGGTTTTTAAATGATTTATTGTCGGACTGATAAAAGTTCCAATACTTGATTAAAAGGAAATTATCACGAACAGAACGTTAATGCACCAATAGCTTTCCATCGTATTTCGTATTTTATATAACAAAAATACTCTATTCTTGCAAAAATTGTCGAGCAATTTATTTAGTAAAAATCATAGAGACTGCCTCTCTAAGTATGGATACCGATTTCTATTCGGTATATCGAGAAAAAACGATCGTGAAAGAATAAGTAACGGTGGTCAAGTATTGCGACAGGATTGTGCTAGATCTGGTACGAGATAACAAAGGAAATTCTTTCTTGAAGACACATAGATAATTTAATTCATTTAATTATAAGGACAGATTAAAAAATATTTAAAACTGTCCGTCAAAATGGTTCAGCACTATGATTAGTATCTGAGAATATCAAAGTTTAAAAAATCATCGCATTTACAAAACTACAAAAGGCAGATTGCTCTTCAACATTCAATGACATCAATAAAAACTAGACAAATAAGATTTTTTTTATTATATGAATGACTAAATTACTATTTTCTAAATAATACCGTTCTATTTTACTGTTTCAAATGGCTCTAAAAATGATTTTGTAGAAGCTTAACCAAAACGTGGACAGAATTGGAATATTTATATAAATTTGATAAGTATGATCGTGACAGATCCGGTACCACTTTTTATGATTGTTCAAAGGATCGTGAAATATCTTGTGTCTCTTATTTGTCATTCCACAAATCATTGAAATATTTAAATCGTGTTGTAATAGTTTGCAAGTTGTTTATGTCACAATAGAGAAAAATTTTCATTTCACTTTTGTTTGGGTCTGGATTTTTAATGATATGACAGCCCCGACTAGTCCGTGGTGCTCTATAGCACTTACTGTCTGTCCGTTCGTCAACATTTTTATGTGGAATAATAAGTCAAGATTGTCTCATATCAAAATTTTTATGAACAGTAACTTTATCTATAAGAGGATGTTACTTGTCGATTGTTTATCTAAAAAGGGAATCTTTTGTGAAAAGTTTATCTTTTACTGTTAAAAGTCACAAATATTGAGAAATATCGTTTTGAGCTAGAATTTCAATTGAAATTTGCGGATAACAACAATAATGTTATTTAAGAATTGAATGCTTCTTTTTGTTAATCTATTGGGGTGTAAAAAAGTTGACCGAAGTACATTTTGTATAAAGCTCGGAAGCGCTTCATTCTAAAAATCTATCAAGTTTTTCTTTTATTAACCTGTGCACTTTATTGTGGAAATTCGTGTCATCCTGAATGTTACATTTCATTTTGAAATAAAGGTTAATTTCAGAATGACGCGAGGTTGCTGTAAGCCAATCAAAATAACGTATTATAATGAAACATACATGTAATGTAATTATTAAGGTATAATATGGAATTCCAAATTGATGGGCAATGTCAAATATTTGATAAAAATAGTTTTGAATAACAAAATCACAATTTTGAAGAAAACTCTTTCTGTTAAAAGGATTGAGATTAAATTAGGTGTATTCTTCTATTCTAAATTAATTATCGGAGTCAAACTTATGGTAAAAAGTGAGGTTTTAATTTATAAAATCACAAGATTTGAGAATCATCTAATAATGTTCTGGTTTTCAACGAAAAATAAGACACATGCTTTGTATGCTATTTTGAGTTAATCCCCAGTGTCAAAACTTTTCAGTTGGCTGCTCATTTCGAAATGATGGTCACAATGTATGAACTACTTCATAGAAGAAAACTGGCCTTATTATGATATACGTTTATGAAGTCCCGGCATTTTTTTATATTGACATTTACTTATGTTTTTACAAGTGTTAATCATTACTGCTTTTTTTTCATAAACAGGTGAGCTTAGGTGATAAAAATTAATTGTGTTAACTGCAATAATCAATAGAGTTATGTGTAGTTAATTTTCCTTATATATAATTATGATTTTATGGAAAATTTCAATATTTGATATAATAGAAAATATAAAAAAGAAGATGTGGTATGATTCCCAACGAGACAACTCTTCACAAGAGACCAAATGACACAGAAATTAACAACTATAGGTCACCGTATAAAGCACATATTAAATGTTTTATGGAAATCAAAATTTATACAAATTTCCAAATAAGAAGCTGTTGGAGTTCAATTTCATAATAATTTAAGTGGGCTCAATCCCATCCCATTTCCCCCGAATGTGACCTACCGAATAAGACTTATCACCGGGTTTGTATTACATGAGCAACACGACGGATGCCACGTGTGGAGAAGGTTTTACGTAACCTTCCGGAGCATCTGAGATCACCCCCAGTTTTTGGTGGGGTTCGTGTTGCTCAGTATAGTTTTCTATGTTGTGTTTTGCGTACTTTTGTTTGTTTGTCTGTTTTTTTTTCTTTGTAGCCATGGCGTTGTCCGTTTATTTTCGACTTATGAGTTTGAATGTCCCTTTGGTATCTTTCGCCTCTTTTTTAATGTTCTATGCTATTGAGTGTCCACGTAGATGTAACAAAATATTGTTTAAGCTTAAATTGGAATTATTATCAGAAGTGTTCCATCAGAGAACACAAAATGTTCTTCCCCTGTTTCTGAGCCTCATGCAATAAAAGTTGATATACTAGTAAACTGAAATTGACCTAATAGTGTATGCTGTATAAAAATAAGGAGAGGTGGTATGGTTGTCAATGAGACAACTATCCACCAAAGTTAAAATGAATTGGATGCAACCGTACGGCCTTCATATATATTTATGTTTTATAAATAAAATCGGATCGTATGATGACTGACAGTTGTCGATGGTTCATAAAACAGTGTTAAGCCCGCACGTGCTGATACTTTAATACTATTTCGTGCATTGTTTATTGTTGCAAAAGGAAGTTTTGCGACTCTGGTAAATATTTAAGCATTTTATCAATCAAATTAGATGTGTCAGAACGACACGAATGGTCCCGCTCGCAAAAAAGTTTGAGGCCATTTTTTTTAGTTAAAATTTTATAATGAAAAAAAATCAGCTTAATATGTGGAGGTGTTTAGAAAAAAAGTCTGTATAACCGTTATCTTTACGAATTTTTCAATATCCAAAACCCGTAATTTCGGTAATAATCAGCTGATCGGAATCAAACGTATCCTCGATCTGTAACTCATCATAGTAGACTCGCATACTAAAAATCAGCTCAATATGTGAAGGTGTTTAGAAAAAAAGTCCGTATAATTGTTCGTTGTGGAATGACGGAATGATGGAATGACAGAATGACGGAATAACGGACAAGGGTAAAACTATATGGTCCCGACCACTCA